CAGATAATATGAACCACTATTCGAAAAACAATGCCGTGTAAATATACACATAATAATTTGAATGGCAGGCGCACCCTTCGCGAATAATAATAACTCATTGCATTGGATGAAGTAGGGGCATTAGCATCATCAATATCGTTGTATACAGGCTGTCCGAAATGTGCATGTCACACGGACACCAGAGCTAGCTGGGCATAAGATACATCGAACAAGCCTGAAAATTTCATGAGTTATGAGATATGACCAATTTTAATTATTTTAAAATAAATATATTATACTTGTTCGAAGCGACTAATCATCTACCTCCGGTGTTAGTGTGACATGCTAATTTTGGGACACCCTGTATGTACTCCTGGTGAACCTGAACTGAATGACGTTCTCTGTCATGGGTTATCTGAAGGACGAGTTTGTTTATATTGCGTTTGCGCATGTTTTTACAAACAAATACAATAATAAAAGAACATTATTGTTTGTGTCTTTGATAAGAAATGTATGTTTAATTAAGAATTATGTTTTATCAAACAGGTGCTTGTGACNTATGTAACTTCGTATTTTCTTGGAAACAAAACTTGTAATAGTTATGCTTTTATGTCTTTGTAATCGAATTCGTTACGCTTTGTTTGGTGAAGTTTGTTATATGATATATGTTAATAATAACAATTAATACATTAATAACTGAAAAATAAATATTATTTACAGGCTTCAATTTAAAAAGTCCGGACAATTTGGACGCCAGTCACATTTTATATTTACTTCTATCTCGTAGAAATAACTACTGATCCATTTACGACTCTTTGTAAAAGAGGCAGCTTATAAAAATACACAATATGTATGTATACAGGATGGCCAGGGAGTTGACGTTCAAAGCTAAAATTTAGATTCCTTACATCAAGATGTATCTAAATCACCCCCATATATGTTCTCCGATTTTGCTTAGTTTAGGAGATATTACTTTTGTAATTTATTCTTAACTATCACCTATCGTTGGTTTTTTTTCTCTCTAGCATACAATGTAAGTAAAAACAAACTACAAGTGTTCGCCAGAGTGAGAAAAAAAATTAAAAACCAACCATTAATTAGTTAAGGATAAATCACAAAATTAACTCTATCTACTAAACTAAGCAAAATCGTAGAACATACATAGGGGTGATTTAGATACACCTTGATGTAAGGAATCTAAATTTTAGCTTTGAACGTCAACTCCCTGGCCACCCTGTATTATGATTTATGACTGTGTTAATGCGTTCTGTTATCTCAAGCCCGATAAATATTCAATCTGCGATGGCGATCCATCACAATTGCGGTGTTGTCGGGCCACGGGCGCATCTGATCGCCACTGAGGGGTGTAATCAAATGTTATCGCGAAATTGTGGAAGCTTTTATCAATTTACTAGCTGTGCCCGCGACTTCGTACGCGTGAAAACCCGTTTTCGCAACATTTTTCATTGTTGCTCTGCTCCTATTGATCGTAGCGTGATGTTGTATAGCCTAAAGCCTTCCGCGATAAATGGGCTAACACTGAAATAATTTTTCAAATCGGACCAGTAGTTCCGGAGATTGGCGCGTTCAAGTAAACAAACAAACTTTTCAGCTTTGTAATATTAGTATAGTAGATAATGCCTGCGGAGAGTTGACGGCAGAAATTGGGTTTTGGGAAAAGGCTGGAAGTAAAGGTTAAATAACAAGAGAGAAGAATGCTTACGCCCGTATTCAAAAATTACTATGAGGTCTCACAGTGCGCGTGGACGCACAGGGTGACACACGAACCAATCACAGAGCTCTATTCATCGTGTCAACTGTGCGTTCGATATGCTGCTTCACTTAAGCAAGCATCGTTTGTGAATACGGTGTTAGTTGTCTTGCTAGACACTAGACCGCACTTAATACATCCTATATCTTTGTCAATTGTACCTAATCAACAAAAGTCAGACGAATATGGCTGATTCTCCATCCGGAACTCAGTATCCTTTTGGTTCATAAAACACCGCCAAGTGTGTGTAAATTAGTAGCAAGTAGGTAGATATTTGTATAACTATGCAATCCGCCCATCAACTGGCCATATGCCCCCCTATCATTGCTTGTATGAATATTCATATCATTGTGTAATAGGTTCGCGAAAACGTTTCCAGGTATCGTGTTTCTCAATAAACAGTACATATCAAGTCACGCTTGCTGATTTAGACCTCCAACTTAGTAAATTAAAGTTCTATGAGCCATATTAGTTGGTCATAATTTACCAGCTAGGGTTATCGCGTCAGTTGCCGTTATTACAGTAACCTACGTGATCAAAATCAATGATAGAAAAAGATTAATCAACAACGATCCAAAGTCCCTGAAAAACGAACGAATCCCTGAAATTAAATGCAATCCAGAATACAATGTGTCCCTGAAACCTTAATCCAGTATTTTATCATTATGGCAACATTCCAATGCGTGGTTGACAACCAAACTGGAGCTTAGCCTTTGAAAGTCTGCCCACCAAATTGTCCCGTGAAGGGCTCTATCTTTTCTCCCTAAGAATACTTGAAAGGAATGAAATTTCGTTTATGAGGAAGCTGTGTATCGTGTATTTCTCATCAAAGGAATATGAAATTCCATATGTTTTTCGTAGGTTTTTAAATTCTAATGCGGGACTCGCTATAAAAAGGATCTTTAGATCTATTGCGAAGTCATGTTTTCTCTTGACCGGGAGTTAAGTAGGTATTACTTATCAAACGTGGTGTTACGTTACTATGCGACGCAATAAAGCAATTTGGTCGGTATGCAAAGGCATTTAGACGGCATGCGAGTGGACTGGAGCCCTCGGCCGCGGCAGGAAGGCGCTTATCAACGCTCGGCTGGGTGCTGTCGAACCCGGTAGATTAATAATAATAAATCTAGAATTAAACGACGAGGGCACTGCTGATTTTATTTTGTAGTTTTGAACTAGATGTCACACCCTAGATGTCCACCATTTTTCAATATCATCAGGTCATTTAGTCACCACAGCAGGAGCAATACCTCTAATGTTTTACCAGAAAATGAGGCATCCAACCTAACGTTCCATTTTTGCCATTTTATTACGGCAAACACATCTTTACAATGCCTAAGAATAAATTAATAGTACCTACCTAAGAGGCTTTTATTTATCTTCTACCAATAAATGATCGATGGAAACATTCGATCTCCTTCAAATTTATTTAAATGCAAATCTACAATTTATTGCGGTAATGCTGTCAATTCTGACTTACCAGTGGGTGTGGGTGTTTTCAGAAATTCTTACTGGTCTCGTATTATTTTCCAGCAAGAACAGTCGGGTTGATGGGCATTGTTTTCATATTTTCGTGTGGCCTGAAAAAGTTGGTCAGACTTGATCAAATGTGATACATTTTTAAAATAGTTTGTACGAAATACAAGCAGACTGGTAAAAAAATGACTATCTCATAATACTTTTGAAAACAATCTATTACGTACCAGGAAATGTACAAATAGCTCTATTAAAACATTTACCAACTAAATCTATTCGTTGACACAAACAAACACATTTCAGATTAGATACGGAATACACAGAAGTACAGCACATCAGAATACACATTTCGCTGCAAAATAGCACTTATTGTAACTTACATAAGATGCCACAATGTTTACTATAAAGTCGATGATTATTTAAAAGATAAAAATGTTTGGGATGCGTAACTGCCTAGCTCGCATAAATATTTATAACTATGTATTTTGAAAACCTGTAAACCTATGAAAAAGAGGCTGACAATAGTGTCTGAGTTTCTTGCGCTGCTTCTTCTCAGCACTGGCCCATTTATTGTCCTGAAGCAGTGGTAGGGTTAATACTGGGACGTGTAAAAGCGCTTTTTTAAAGCCTACTTACAGAAATAAATGAGTTATACTGAGTTTTTTTTGGCTTGTTCTGCTGTCGTCAGTACAGTCGCGGANTAAACGCTGGGCCTTTTATCTATGGCCTTGTCTTTGGCCCAAATAGCTAATGCAATAATTACCGCGTGCTTTAACGATTGTAATCGCCGTTATGTAATTCAGCTTTCTGATTCAGTAAGGCTGCTAAGGCAATTGACCTGAAAATGCTTCGTACAACGGTGCAGGTCTTCCAGACGACCTAGTTTAGATTTTTCATTATGTTTGAAGGTTTGTCGCTGTAAATTTTCTTCTTGGTAATTATCACTGTTAAGAAAACAACACTTTTAGTTGTATTGGTTTAAAACTTAATCTTTTATTGAATATTTTTAATGAGCTCTTAGTATGTAACCTTTGATTTAGTTGTTTACCAACTTTAATGTAAAACTGTTTTATAAATCAAAATCAAAATAAGTGCATTATTACCCCCAGGTTTTCGGTCTACCTTATTTATCAGTTTGTGTTTAAAGCAAAAGTTATTAGACCAATTACTTTCCACTATGTTTTAGACATTGTGCGAACAAGCAGATTTCTAGACTGAAAATAACCGTTTAATTAAATTACATTCTTACAAATATTAGCCCAAATAATGCGTCAAACAAAAATAAACTGGACAATATAAATATGTAACGTGTCTGGCCTGATGATTGATGATAGACAAGTTTCTGTCAAGTCTACTGGTTAACACAGCAAAATAACGTGACGGACTAATTATTTTTGAGTGCAAACATTCATGCAAAAGAAAACTTCAATTAAATGGCCTGGGTGGTTTACATGCAGGTTTTACCTGTACCGTACAAATTGTGCATCATACGCGGTGGGGATAGATTTGTATGGTACAGAGATATTTTTATGAATAAGTTCGTATTCCGTTGTTCAGTTTATACTTATAGCAATAGTATAGTTTACCGTTAATTCCTGAATCACCTTTTCATTGGACATAGTGGCCCAAAACAGACCCGAGTAGAGATTCTTATTGTCGGAGGCTTAGACTCACTTTGGGTCGCTACACCATCTTAGTTAGTAAATATTTTTTTATTTCTGATTACACACCGCTCATTCAATATTTTTCTTACCTCACCTGTATACATTTACAGAACTGCACGCAGCAGCAAAGGAGACGGTGACTTTAGCAGAGCAGCGCTTCGTGAGCAAGCAGGACGAGTGGCAGTTCGACAGCAACTGGCAGGAGGTGCTCAACCATGCCATCATTAAGGTAACCCTCGCACTGACAACATTATTATTCAAGGCAGTCTCGCCTTGAGGCACTTACAGGGCAGATATGTACCATCCTAGACTGCTCACTAAACACCAGGTGCGATTGCGGTCAAATACCTGCCTTGTCATAAAAAAAAAACATGAAAGTAAATAAATAATAGAGTACTGCAACGAAAATTAGTCTATCATTGTGATACCAGCCATTTGATGATATTTAAGGACGTCAGCCGTGAGCGAAATTGCCCATTTTATTGACGCACTTTAATTGATATGATGTTCTAATTTTAGATTGGTTTTACACGGTCGTTTGAAATTTTTTGCTGTAACGCAAGTGCGGAAAAGAATCGTTTGAAAGAATAATTGTCGATTTCCTACGTTTCGATGACTATTATTCAAGGACAACGTGATATTGGCGCTATTATTGTCTTAAACACAAATTAAGTATTCAGTTTAGACAACTGCTGTCCATTATTAGCATATAAGGTGTGTTAAGATGATGTAATGCCTTGGGGTTCGTATGCTATGGGCTTATTTGAATAATTTACATTGTCAAAGCCGGCTTAAGCATATGAGGCCATAATAATGTGGCCATATTTGCCAATAAATCTACTGAAACTATGTGATAATTTATTTAACGTTTCTAGGTCATGGACGCTGAGAAAAGAAAAGCTGAAAGTGGGCGTGAACATCAAAAGAAAGCAGCGTCGTACATTGCAGCTGAAAAAAAGGTATCATTAAACTTCAATGTTTAACTAGTATTAGAATAATTACAATTTATGCAGTTTAGATCGTTCGTTCGTTTCAGCCAAATGACGTCCACTGCTGGACGAAGGCCTCCTCCAAGGTTTTCCACAATGCAGTTTAGTATACTAAAAAAATCAATTTTAATGTCACAGGTTGTGCAACTGGAAGATAACTTGAAACGCAACATAATAAAGTCACGTCTCTACTTCGAAGAGAAGAAACTATGCGACGAGCAGCTGCAGACGCAAAACGAAAAAATTGAGAAGCTGCAGCGTCTGATTGCCGACGCCAAATTCCGCTACTCGAAATCTCTTAAAGCTCTAGAAGAAATATCAGAAGAGATCCATCGTCGTAGAGGAGAATACCCGCCCGGCAAAGACACGATACCCGTGGGACCAAGAGAACCAGGCGTGGGAGCCGAAAGAGACCCGATCCACGACGAAAACGACTCAAAAGACCCTGAACACGACGAAGAATCCAGTCTTCAAGAACTCAGAATGAGAGTCAGGGAACTAGCTCTAAAACCAATCGACAGAAAAGACGTCGAGACAGACGAAGCGTGGGCATTGGAGCTGAACGAAACGATCAACAAACTCGACCAGCTGCTTATGATGAAGGAAAATAACCAGCAGAAGCGGTCCAAATTCACAGCAGTGTCCCCAAGAAATTCTAGTGCTCCATCCACGAGCACTAACACTGGGAACAAACACACTCCACCCCCTAGCGACAGTTGGAAATTCGAGACGAACTTGAATAGAACCAAATCCATAAGCAGGGAGGTGGTGTACGAAAATTCGAATCCACCGATAAGCAAGACTGAGAAATCGAAGAGCATGATGTCGCTCGACGTGTTAGCTCTAGCCAGAGACACGGCCATTATGGATAGGGAGTCTTATTTAAAAGCTGTCATCGAAGACAAGTCTCCGACTGGGACGTATACCGAGAGCAATTCGGATAGAAACGAGAGTCCTGACGAGATTCTGATGGTGGAGTGCGATTCCAGCGATTCCACACAGAACCCCGTCATTCGAATGACCAGTTCAACGATCACTGACAGCGATAATAGTTAAATTTCTTATGAATCGCCTGAGTAGAATCGCTATTCGTCGCGACACACTTAGGATTTTTTATTGATGTCAATTTCTATGTGTTAGTTTAAAAAGAAAAATCGAATAAAAACTAAAAAGGCTCACTCTTTTAATGTTTAGTTAGAGTAGTGTTTGTCTTGTTTTCCACTTGTTGACTCGTGTATAATCTGGTCCGTTAGCACGTAGAATTTTGTCCAATGACCCCAAGCTACCCATCCTTATCGCTCTCGCTCGCGCGTAATTATGTTGCTATCGCGCTTGCACACTCACTGCGGGTGCCATTCAATATAATTACGCGCGAGCCTTATCGCTCGGGTAATAATGGGTAGCTTAAAAATTCTACGTGCTCACGGACCGGGCTTTAGAGTTTATTTTAGTGTAATTCTGATTTACGTCGACGCCATATCACTCCACCGACACAACGCTCGCAAATATTTATTTGTTGCACGTACCCAACTGTCGTTGGTAGAAGTTAGAATACACGTAGTCTTTATTGGTTGTAACACTTTGTATTTTGGTTGTAATTGAATTGTGAATTAATGTTTCACTGTAAACATTTTTTTGTCTAGTTTAACATTTATGTATTTTAGAATTGATTTATTTTTGATTTTAGAAAAATTGTAAGAGGTATGCGTGGTGTTACGATCATTGTGCATTCTGATATAAAAAGAAATATCTATTAGTGACTAGAATTTGTTCCACTTGCACAAAAATCGTAGCGCCATTCATATTTTAAATGTAAGAGTAGGCGCACACCGTTAATTTTTCGTCGGCCGATAGTTTAGTCGGGCAGTTGATCAGTATGAGCATGTATGGGAGTGCGCACACTACGCCGATTCGATTTGGCCGATTCTTCATACAAATTAAAATGGGGCACAACTATCGGCCAACTAAAAATCAACGGTGTGCGCCTACTCTAAATGTTGCCATTTTAACGGAAACTCCTTGAATTTTGAGAGCTCTGTGCCTTCATTTCTTAAAACAATGTCAGATAAATAAAAGAAGACTGGATTACACGGTTGGTACTTATCAAGGTTGTAGTGTAAGACGCGTAGGGACGATGTGACTTAATTATTTAATAACAAGGTTTCTCTAACATACTCATAAGTTAAAATAAATCTATATTTTTAAATTTTAACGTTTAGGTTGGGTGATGCATTTAAGTAAAAAGTATTGAGTGAATTAGTTTATTATACGTATTGTATTAAGTATTTTTCATACTGCCCAATATTAACAAGAATATTTCTAACAAGCGGGTCACGGTTAATACAAAGCAATAACAGAGAATGCCTTCATTATGATGAATTAATAATCAGATTAATTATTTTGAATCTGGCAATACCTGAAATTGAAAATGTTGCTATTTGCTACTTGTTATCGCCACAATGTTGCGAAATAGTTAAACTATTTTTATCAGGTTAATTAATGGCTTAAACTAACAAAGAAAAACTCGTATTGCTCACAAAATACTGCAATCAAGGAATGTTGTAAGTTTTTTTGCTCAAAATTGATCATGCCATGGCTTTTTGAGTAATATTTTACTACCACGAAATAATTTAACTGCACTTGTAAGAATTTTCGCAATCTATGATGTCTTTTTCTCTACTGAATATTGTGCTAACGAATAAATGTCTAAAATATAAACCGATGTTTTAATTCCCTTATTCAATTATAAAAAGATGTTGAAACAGAAAAAAACTATTAAACGCAACATTTATAAAAGTACTAGTACTTACAGTTTCATGTTTCGGCTGTTGCTGACGCCGTGGTCACAAGCAGACTGGTAGCTCACGGCGTCTGTTAGAGCGTGCAATTTTCGACTACCCTCAAATTGACACTTATTATTTTTACCGTGCCTCATAATCTCACACAGCACAAACTATCGAGGATTGTAAACTTAACGGCAATACTCTTAAATTATACAGGGTGTTTGGCGCATCGTGTGCCAAAATAATTTGGCGGATAGAATGGGTCATTTCCTATATTTTCAGCCCCCATAACACGTTCCATGTCAGGCGGCTACTTTTATATTAAGTTTTTTAGTAATTTCACCAAAATACCCAAATCGCATCATTTAATTTCGATTTAAAATAAAACTACTAAGCGTAGCCTCAAAATAAATATTTTGTTTTGACGTGCATTNTAAAGGGGGCAATTTAATGAAAACATAATTAAAAATGATAATCCATTTATTTTGGGTGAAGTCAACGCTCCCAGCCATAAATACAGCTTATTTTATGTTACAATAATATAACAGCACACAAAGATGTATACATTTTTGGCTATACAAATATACACAGTTGAGGGAAGGCACTTCTAGGGAGTGATAATATAATTTTTTTTACACATTTAGTAAAAGGTAAATATTCCGACAGGATAAATATAGATTTACATTAAAAGGTATGAATTATTTACATTAAAAATAACATAAATGCATAATTAGAATATAGTTCAATAATCTTGAAATAATAGATTTGATCTGATAAAATATCATTTTTTCCGAAGACACTAAAATTCGGAATGTTGGGGTAAAAAGTAAAAACCACGTTTTCGTTAATAGTTTCCTGAAATGTTACAATAGGTACATGGTATTGATATACATTTAATGTTAAATAAATCCTAACATTTACAGGTACACATCGTACATACATTAGTTATTAAAATCGTGCAAATCGTATTCTGTATTTCATAGTTCATAAACTTAAGGTTTTGTAACGTGTAATTGAAGTAAATCCAAAGATTATTATATATTACGATAAGTGTCATTTATTATTTTAAATTGATAAAGGTAGTTAATAGTTATGTATTGTAAATTATACATTGTTAATTTATGTATTCTAATATTACGAATCTTTTATTTATCAATGACGTAAGAAAACCATACGCACTAGGCAACTTTTTAAATCAATTACACGTTGTATATTATTATTTTTATTAGGAACGCAAGAACATTATTATTTTACATTGCTGTTATTTACCACTATTTTAAATTATTATTACTATTACAACTATGGAAGAGACGGTGATATTTAAAAAATGCTGTTGTTTGCCCAGGGTTTAATGAGCCTAAAATATGGTTCTAAGATAATGAGAATAATGAAACATAGTGAAATTAATAAACAATGGCACCATTTATGAGTTGAAAACGGCAGAATATTTATTACATATTTTAATCAAGCGTCGGTTTTCGTCGTACGCGACTTATTTCCTGGTCCCATAGTATTTAGTTACACGTTCACAAAATAGTAAATATTTCCAACGAAAGCAAAAACAATAATAAGAAAATAAATAAATCCAAAAATATTTATCCCAACTTCATATTAAAAATCGGTGAATATGATAATAATTAAACAAGATTTTTTACATATCAAAAATAAAACAGTAAAATAATATTTATATTGTATACAATATTCGGAACCGATACTGAATTATAAGAAAAACATGACAGTGTTGATAGTATAAATAAATACTTTATCAACAAGGTAAACCGACACAACGCTATAAGCCATGGTGATAAAAGATGTGCACAAGAGGCAAGTACCTATTCATTCCATTAATCTCCATCACATACGACACCAAGTAAAAGGTTCTATTATAATAAGAATATCTTATTTAAACTTATTTTTTCCGAAGAATACGTTAACAAAGTGTTTTTTTTAAGGAAAATTATCAGGTGTAGCATCAATTTTATACATAGTTATTCAGCGATTGAACGATTGGCTCTGAGCAAGAAAACAAATTAAGTAATGACCTGTATCATACCACTATGATTAGTCTATTCCACTTTGATCACCTGGATTTGATTACGGAGATGATCAAAGTGGAGTGCAGGGATGTTATGGATATCCGAAATAAAAAAATATCCGAAACCGTAACCGATTCAAAAGTTTCGAATGTAGGCAGTTAAAATTGTTTTTTGTATAGCATTATATGTAAAGGCATAACAGCCTGATTTACCTTTATAATGCCATCTGGTATCAATTTTTATTTTTTCATTACTTTTTATTCGATGTAAAGTGTGCGGCCATGAATGAACCGTGTTGGACAACTATTGCAAATTGCATTCTAAAGCACAGATATCCGTCACCGTAACCGAAACTTTCGGATATCCAAAAGAAGAAAATATCCGTAACCGAAATCGGTATAATATTATTATTCCCATATCCGTAACCGTATCCATAACCGAAAATACANAAACTACATATCCATAACGTCCCTACTTTGGTGTGCATTGTATGATTAGTCATTTTCATTGTTTTATCATAATATTCCGTTAACGTTACGTTAAACGTATGTTATTGTTTTATAACTACTTGTGTTAATTACATATTTTCTATCTACGCACAATACACAAATTATAGCCTGACCAGGAACATAAAAACCCTGGCATAGAGGCGCGTCAATTGCATTTGATAGTGCAACACTGAGTACAGTCGTACCTGTGTTAAATTAATAGGCTAACTTTATGTATCAGGATTCAGGATTACGGGCTAATTTGATATTTTCATAAATTAACGAAAAAATATTATTATAGGTAACCTGATTTAAATAAATTAAATGAAACCATCAATCGAGCTAGTAGAATTTATTTTATTATTCATCAATAATCAAATTCAGAACTTGAATATTCAACTGCAATGTCTGCTCATGAACGCTTCAAACTCGGTACTTCTTTCCCAATTCCATAAAATTCAACACTTAGAAAGTGACAAAAAACTTTAAAATAGGTAGTTGAAACAAACCACAGCTAATTTTCATAGTGGACTGTACTATACGATAAACATGTCAGTCAATTTGACAACCTTTGTCGGAAACATTATTCAATGAAAATATTGTCCAAACCCTTAGTATTTCTCTTCGACAAATACTTTAACACATTGTGAACCACTTTTCTTTCACGACTATAAAAATATTTGGGCAATTTAATTCATAAAACCAATTGCGCACATTTAAAATAAACTTTGTTTACACTTTGACAGCAATAGACTGACATGCAAGGTGACATGTCAATGAAGTTTTCAGTTACTGTTGCCATTAAAAGAAATTAGTACCATTAGTTTTCCGCAACATGGCGAGGGTTTTTATGTTCCTGGTCAGGCTATATATGAAATCAAAGTATGGCATATATGACTCATATTTGGCATTTATTTCATTTCTGTTGGACTTGTAGTAACTTTGGATCGCAAATAAATGCAGGTAAATGCACAAAGCTTATTATTTACTGACTTCAAAGGTCATAAGGATAAATAGGGTTAATTATCAACATTCTTAATAATATTGTTAAGATTCCAATTTTATAACATCAATATTAACGTAAACATTAAAACTAAAATTGCAGAACTTCTTATGTCAAATATGCTTATATTTTCATATCAATCCAGTAAAAAGTTATTATTTAATTTCAATCCGATATATAAAATGAAATAAGAAAACATAATAGTGTGTGCAGTGACATTAGAAACTTCCTATTAAAATCTCCACAATTAAATCCCAAGTAAAATGTTGCCTACACCTATACAGGGTGTTAGGTAAATGGGTATATGAGCCGACACTAGCCCATGTTAACATGGTCATATAAATGGTATGGTGAAGTTAGAAATTTGATATCATCATTTTTTTTTCATACAAAATAAATTTCAATTTCATACCCATTTACCTAACACCCTGTATAACAATAACTGTCAACAAATAATCTAAGAACTCATCTTAAATAGTTATTATTATACACAAAGCTAAAATCTATAAGTGAGAGCGCTTACTAATAACATGTAAAAGTCGGATGAACTAAGTCAACTCAATGCGAGCATTATTTTGTGAAATAAATCGAAATCTAAAATATCAGACATTGACAACAACTTTTCTTTGTGCCATATCAGACCAAGAAAAAAACATATTGTGCTTTTTAGTCTTCATATTAGGACCTGCAAGGAAAACTGGATTTAAAACAGCTTTTATTAAAAACTTTAGTTGCAGTCCACTTGAACTGTGCCAAACTGAATTGAATATAAACAGTAAGACATTAGAGTTGACATTTGTTTTGTAAACAGACGATGTCACCGACACCTAAAGAATGCTTAAATTAAAATAACTTTCTGGAGATATAACAATTGATTTATATAATTACAACGATTAATGCCACGGAGGGTAGATTGAACTATGGTTTAGTGATCTGTGGCCATTGGCCACAGCAAAAGAAATTATCAAGACCTACATTCTGAAACAACGCTCATAATAAAAAATGAACTAATCACAGTTGGGCTCAGTTTCAGAATGCAAGCCTAAAAATATGTCACTTGGAAGTCTGAAGTTAACCGAAATAATATATACAGGTTGTTTGGAAAGTTACAATCATTATTATGAACAAGATATACTACGATATTGACTTTCATGACAGTTTCAAAAAGCATCTTTTGTCTTCCTGCGTTGTCGCTTCCGTATCTTCGGATCAATCTATCATTGAAAGTGAGAAAAGAAAGAAAAATACTTTTGCCTGTGACAGACTACTTTACACCTAAACTGTCACCTTTTTACCTTCTCCAAATAAAAATTTAATTTAATTTTACCTTTCCCCCGGAATCAACTCAATATCACTGATTGATTGATAGTCCCATTGCCTATGATTTGAATGAGAGGGATAGATTCGAAAATACGTAAGTACTATTTTTTACACACTGTATAGTTGTACCATGATTAAAAAGTTATCTTGACCCAATCGCTCATAATATGGATTTACCATGGCAACCCTTAATCCTGTATAAATGTTCAACAACGTCCTAAAACAATATACAATAACTACAGATAATACCTCTTCAAGAAGACCTTGTATTTTCACAGCTTAGACGACATCTTGGTGATGGCCTGCCTCCACCATTTCGCGCGGCCGATGGTACCGGGCGCGTTGAATAGGGCATGCTCAATGTTTTGGTATAGCTGGAAAAATAATAATATTATTTTAAAGTGTATAGAAATAGTATTGTACTTTAGTTTTGAAACTTATTTCACGTCAGTAAAGTTAAAAATGTGATGTAAAAGATTTAGCCATCAGGGTACAGTGCAGGTTGTAATTCATTTAATTCAGACTTTTGGTTTTTTTTTTAATAAATTTTACACACTGCCTGCCCCTTTTAGGTACGACAATATGAAAATACCATAACAACAATATAAATGAAAGGGCATAAGGATTTGTTGAACTTTTGATCGGCTAAATATGAGAGTCATAATCACAACCATTAGCAGTTTTAACTCACGAATATTAAAATTATACTTACATTGCCATCGCTCTTCCCGAGCACGGAATTCAGCACGAAATCCGTCGGCGCAAGCGCATCCACCACGCTCACGACTTCTCCTTTGACATCCGAACATAATTCCAAGATGGCCGCCCGTATCAACCTCGTAGGGGCTTCCCCGCTCGCGTAACCCCCTTGGTACATCTCTACCAAATGTTTATCTAGCGACCACAGCCCGTATAAGTAAAACAGCTTATACATCACTGGCTGTAGCTCTTTCTCTTTCTTCTCTATGGATTCCAGAGAGAAGATGATAGATAGGTACTCCGCGTACACTCGCGTCAGACACTTCCAACGGTACACTTGTGATTTGGTCCTGGCTTGAAACTTGGATAGGCCGCTAGCTATTTCAGACTCATATTTTTCATGTGTCTCTTTGAGCAGCCAGCATATCAGCCATTTGTATGTGTTTATTATGACTGAAAAAAATAGAAAAAGTTTGAATAAAAATGCACTATTTTTTTCGATGCAAGAAGACATGTTTTTAAATTAGCAATTAAAGTTAGCCTAGGTGGAAGGCGCATAGGCGCCTGCTTAGAGTTGTCCTGTGGTAATCAAGGTGGGTCCGCACAGCGGATAAACTGAGCATAGGTGGAACTCGGGTTAAAGTTCGCTACACCGGCAGAAAGAAGGACACTGGTGGATTTTTAGTTGGTAGGCCCCTCCCATCTGGAGGGGAGAGCCCCACATAACCCGTCGCCTGACCACAGCGGCGGGTATGCAGCTCAATGCATTTTTACCACCTAAAAAAAAGATGTAGACCACCGACTTTTAGTCGGCCGATAGTTGGGTCGGGCTGTTCATCAGTATAGAGATGTGAGAAAGTGCGCACATTACACCGATTAGACCGAACGAATTTCAGTAACTGTTCATATCCACTGTCTGATACTGAATTTGAAGGTTGAAACTAGATGGCGCTATATCAGATATCCAAGTATATTATAATTATTATTATTTCTTCCAACTCACATTCAGTAGTCTTCAGCTGGCTCGTCTCCGTACACATAAACGTACTCTGCATTATCCTCCTATAGTCTGCTAAGAAGGTGACCGTCCCTATCGGGGAGTCGACCGCTGAACCAGCCAGCGCCGCCTCGTACTGACGTAGCAACCAGTTGCCGGTCTGCTGAGATAGCACGTTGTTGTCTCCCTCGTACGTCACTGTCGGCTCGTGGTTGCTTCTGATGTCGCCTAGGTTTGCGCACTGAGGGTAGAAAGATATTTTTATAAAATTAAACTTTCAACACTACAGAAACTTCAGTAATATATCATTATTTGTTTTTGTGTCTGTCATCATCATTATCTCAGCCATAGGACGTCCACTGCTGAACATAGGCCTCCCCCAATGCTTTCCATGCTGCCCGGTTGGTAGCGGCCTGCGTCCAGCGCCTTCCTGCTACCTTTAGGATGTCGTCGGTCCACCTTATGGGTGGATGTCCCACGCTGCCTTTTCCGGTACGCGGCCTCCACTCCAGAAACTTGCTGCCCCATCGGCCGTCGGTTCTGCGTACTATGTGCCCTGCCCATTGCCACTTCAGCTTGCAAATCCGTCGGGCCATGTCAGCGACTTTAGTTCGTTTACGTATGTATGTAATAAGTATGTATATTTCTTTGGCACGGCCTACAGCCTAAGCGACTTGATCGATTTTAGCGCGAGAGGTGTCATTAGATTCGTCTTAATCGTGAGTGATACTGGCTATATTGAAATTGGAAAAATCAAAATGGCGAATTTCAAGCGAAGCGAACCTATCGAGTGGGGTATCAAAATAAAGAGCTTTTTAATTAGCTTACAAAAAATCATATTATTTATCTAAAATGATTATTGAAAAAACAAAAAACCCAACTGCGTAAAAATGAACTGAAATACATATCAACAAAAGAATAGTCATTGATGCCTCCGACTGCATTTGTGAACACTTAAGTTGACTTGTTTTAATCTTTTTAGTAAATTTTTACGTAGTTGGGATTTTTGTTTTTTCAATAATTTATCACGAAGTTCAAGTGAAATAACCCTTGTGATTCATTTACATAACCATATTGTTAGTATTTTCTGTAGCTAAACGGAAGCCAAGAAAACAATGTGACATACAATATCGACAAATCACGTGACCAGCTGGCTCACGTGCCATATGCCGACATGTCAACACAAAACATGGAGTCTTGGTTAACTGTTCTTACAGCAGAACTGACTGAGTATCGGCATAGAGCAGACCGTAACCCGATACGGCGGGCCGGAGGTCCTCTTATACCAGGGCCGCGAAGAATTTCTACAACAGGGGTGGCCAACTGGTCGATCGCGACTATTAGTCCAATCGACCGTGGCAAGGCAAAAAATACTACATGATTGTGTACTAAACTATGCTGTTTCATTTAAGATTTCAAGAAGTATGTAAGTGGTAGATCGCCCCGGGTTTCGTTAGTAACCAGTAGATCTTATGTTTAATCAAGTTGGCCACCCTTGCTCTCATCCTGTAAAATATCGAGACGGTAAAAATAATCATCAATCATTCCACCAGCTCGCACTAAGTGTCTCGATGATTCATTTATAATGCGAACAGCTAGGGACTGGAATTCGCTGCCTGCTGTCTTTCCCGAAGACTATAATCCGGGTCTTTTCAAGGCGAGAGTGAATAGGCACTTACAGGGCAGATATGTACCATCCAAGACCGCATCCCACTTAACACCAGGTGCGACTGTGGTCAAATACCTGTTATGCATAAAAAAGTAAAATATTGATGTGGAAATGGTTACCTTTAGAAAGCCATGGCCACCGCACGCCTCGCGGCACTGCTGAGCGGCGTCCAGCACCGTCCACGTCAGCAGCGGCTTACTGCACGACACCATCGCGTGGATCTCGCTTACTGCTTCGCTCTGCAAATGAAAATCATCGTATCTATAGGCGATTATCACACTGCACCGCGCTCCGCCGCGGTCCGCGTGGCGACATATAACGAATTCCGCGCGCAAACGCGTTGTCAGTGTGTTGTGCCGCGCGTGTTTTCTATACAAACTGAGGTACTTGCATATTATGATTAAATCTGTCGTCCCGCGTACCGTGCAGTGTGATAATCGCCATACTTCAATGGTTCTATCGTTTCTGATCAAGAAATAGCTTTGAGGTCAATTGATACAACTCAAACGAGCGAAAAAAGACCAGTGAGGCTAACCCGTATTCACAAACATTACTATGAGGTCTCACAGTGCGCGTGAACGCACAGAGTCACACACGAACCTCACAGAGCTCTATTCAACGCTGTGCGTTCGATTTGCTGCTTCCCTTAAGCAAGCATCGTTTGTGAATACGGGCGTAAGATATGCGTCACAATATAATATTATATTATCAAAGCATTTTATCGATTTTAGACGATAAGCACACATCTGTAGGCCTAGGATGCGCGCCGCGATAAGCGGTAATCACGCCATTTTATCGATTTTGCCCATACATTTTGACTTCGATAAAGTATATCACGGCGCGCATTCTAGCCCTTCTAATGTCTAAAATCATCGATTAGATTTTATCGTGATGCGCATCGTAGTCATCACGCAGCAGGTAGAAAGGCATCACGGCGCATCGTGCTAATTCAAAGCTACAATGTAAGAAAAACTAAAGTGTGAAAAAAACGTGCGTAGCTAGTAAGAAAAATGGCGCCCTTTTAGCGGTAAGTGCTATCACTGCTAAAATGTATGAGAAAATGTCACTTTTGAAGTTAGCAAACGTGTCCTCTAAAACTTTAGCATGTTTTCGGCGGTTGCCATGGCGATCGCAATTTTGCTAACATTTCTAACAAGCGCTATTTTCGGCCAAACGCCCCCTTTGATGATGTTGATGATGATGAAGAGTTAACTCGTACTTCTTGGCGGGAATCTGAAGCGTAATTTTAGCGGTTTTGTTTTATTTCCTCAAATTCGTGTTTGGGCGACTATTAATGTGTAATAATGGTGGATTATTAACCATTAAGTGTTCGTGAACGTGCATGAGTGTGGGCGAGTGAAGCAAAACAGTGCATCGTGATTCTTCTGGTTCTCTCAAGTTGTCCATAGGAGGTCTCAGTAAAGCACCACCACCCGGTGGGAAGGGCTATCATCTATCATCCTTTATTATATGTATTATTACTTGATCTCATTTTGTAACTCGTATCACTTATAAACTTGAAAATGGCACAAATCAAGTCGACCTCGACGTGTATTGCCAACATCATCAAAAAAGAAGAACTAGTTAACTCACCAGGTTATCGACCCTGNCTAATCACAGTTGGGTTCAGTTTTAGAATGCAAGCCTAAAAATATTTGTCACTTGGAAGTCTGACGTTAACCGAAATATATACAGGTTGTTGTTTGGAAAGTTACACTTATTATTATGAACAAGATATACTAGGTACGATATTGACTTTCATGACAGTTTCAAAAAGCATATTCTGTCTTCCTGCGTTGTCGCTTCCGTATCTTCGGATCAATCTACCATTGAAAGAAAGAAAAGAAAGAATAATACTTTTGCCTGTGACAGACTACCTTACACCTAAACTGTCACCTATTTACCTTCTCCAAATAAAAAAATAATTTAATTTTACCTTTCCCCCGGAATCAACTCAATATCACTAATTGATTGATAGTCCCATTGCCTATGATTTGAATGACACAGTACCAAAATATTGACTTCAGTAACTGTGACATTTGGAGGTAAGTACTATTTTTACACACTGTATAGTTGTACCATGATTAAAAACTTATCTTGACCCAATCGCTCATAATAATGACTTTAGTAAATCCATGGAAACCCTTAAACATCCTGTATAAATTCAACAACGTCCTAAAACAATATACAATAACTACAGATAATACCTCTTCAAGAAGACCTTGTATTTTCACAGCTTAGACGACATCTTGGTGATGGCCTGCCTCCACCATTTCGCGCGGCCGATGGTACCGGGCGCGTTGAATAGGGCATGCTCAATGTTTTGGTACAGCTGGAAAAATAAAAATATTATTTTAATATGTATAGAAAAAGTATTGTATGTACACACGACAGCACATCAGGTTACCCATTTTTGTTGCAAACTCGCCCCTATTACAACTGCACAAGAACCCACAGTGGTTACGTTGACGTGCCGTCGTCCGTAATTTAGTTTTGAAACTTATTTCACGTCAGTAATGTTCAAAATGTGATGTAAAAGATTTAGCCATCAGGGTACAGTGCAGCAGGTTGTAATAAAAATTCGACTTTTGGGAGTGTTTTATACATTTTACACACTGCCTGCCCCTCTTAGGTACGACAATATGAAAAGGCTTCAGCATAGTTTCATGACAATGTAAATGTATTCTAATAACGGGCATACTGATTTGTTGAACTTTTAAGCGCCTAAATGGTCTCATATTAGTATACGAGCGTAAAATGCGTATAACAACGTACATAATATCGTAAGATATCAACTTCTTTTTGCATCATTGCGCACTAATGCGCACATAAACGCACTTATAACAACTAAATTATACTTATGCGTTGAAAAAATTTATAAATAAAATATAAAACACACGTCACAAATAACAAATTTAATAATAATAAAATTATACTTACATTGCCATCGCTCTTCCCGAGCACGGAATTCAGCACGAAATCCGTCGGCGCAAGCGCATCCACTACGCTAACAACTTCTCCTTTGACATCCGAACATAATTCCAAGATGGCCGCCCGTATCAACCTCGTAGGGGCTTCCCCGCTCGCGTAACCCCCTTGGTACATCTCTACCAAATGCTTATCTAGCGACCACAGCCCGTATAAATAAAACAACTTATACATCACTGGCTGTAGTTCTTTCTCTTTCTTCTCTATGGATTCCAGAGAGAAGATGATAGATAGGTACTCCGCGTACACTCGCGTCAGACACTTCCACCGGTACACTTGTGATTTGGTCCTGGCTTGGAACTTGGATAGGCCGCTAGCTATTTCAGACTCGTATTTTTCATGTGTCTCTTTGAGCAGCCAGCATATCAGCCATTTGTATGTGTTTATTATGACTGTAAAAGGATATAAAAGAAAGTATGAATAAAAATTCACCCGCTTGTTTTATTTTCAGAGTAAAATGCCATTCATGTGAACTACAGAAATTGTGGAATTTATAAAACCCTGAAACCTAGTAGATGTTTTATTTGTTTTACATAAATATAAATCTGTTTGAAGCATTGATCTGGATGTTGTTTATGTGCTATATGGGTGTAGGTATTTACAAAAAAACAAACAGTAGCCTTATTATTCACGTAACAACACTTTAAAGACAACAAATCGCTGAGTTGCGATCCTATCGAGTAATTGTTTTATCGAAATGACCCTTGTGAATACGGATTTAGAAACTGTTTTTCAATAGGACGACTTCTAAACGTCAACGATATTATGACTGTGTCAAAATACGTGAATTAGGCCACAGTATGTTCACCGATTTGTGTTTACCGGTTGGTATAGTATACAGACTTTGCTGAGTTTGAGACTAGATGGCGCCGTTTCAAAGTAAATGTATTTATAATTATATTTTCCAACTCACATTCAGTAGTCTTCAGCTGGCTCGTCTCCGTACACATAAACGTACTCTGCATTATCCTCCTATAGTCTGCTAAGAAGGTGACCGTCCCTATCGGGGAGTCGACCGCTGAACCGGCCAGCGCCGCCTCGTACTGACGAAGCAACCAGTTGCCGGTCTGCTGAGATAGCACGTTGTTGTCTCCCTCGTACGTCACTGTCGGCTCGTGGTTGCTTCTGATGTCGCCTAGGTTTGCGCACTGAAGGCAGAGAGATATTTTTATAAAATTAAACTTTCAACACTACAGAAACTTCAGTAATACAGTGTGAGTCACGTTAAAGTGGACATATGAAAATAGATGAAACTAGACCTGTTTTTATCGACAAAAAAGAGGTTAAAACATTTTTGAGATTTTTTTAAAAAAAATTATTGAATTTTTTTTCTTCCAATGACTTATTGTAAAGAAAACGTAATAACTTTTAAACTAAGCGGTATATCCTGATAAAATAAAAACAGTAATAATGCTAAATAACAGGCGATACTAAAAAAATACATAAAATACACAAAAAAGGCCAACAAATAATAAAAAATGAAACTTTTGAAAAAAATCTGCTTCAAAATTCGTGTTTTTTTGGTTATTTGATAAATTTCTCCAAAAAACGCCCCTATAACCGGTGGTTTTTATTACTTTGTATTGTTCTCTATCGTATTATCTTTGTAAAACCAAAAATCGCATGTCTCTATCCCTATCACAACATTTGCTATGATAAATTGCAAAGTTATCAAATAACCAAAAAAACACGAATTTTTAAGCAGATTTTTTTCAAAAAGTATCATTTTTTATTATTTGTTGGCCTTTTTTGTGTATTTTATGTATTTTTTTGTATTTCCTGTTATTTAGCATTATTACTGTACATTTTAAGACCCACTTGTTGAGAGGCTCTACTGAGGCCATCGAGCATTGTGTTTAGGTCCTCCACGGTCTCAGCCATGACTACGATATCGTCCGCGAAACGAAGGTGGGTGATATACTCGCCGTTGATATTTATGCCGAATCCGCTCCAGTCCAGAAGCTTGAAAACATCTTCCAGGGCCCGGGTGCCAACCCATGCTACGCCGCCACTGGATAAATGTTCACCACGCACTCCTTCGGTTTCATAAACGCTCATTTCTTTTTTTCAGGACCTTTTCGTATTCTAATTGACCACTTGGCTTTAGCTTTTGTTTGTTAAAGTTATCCTTCTCTCTTTTAAGTTCCATCTCAAGCCGTTGCACTAAAGTAATTTTCACGGGTTGTGCGTCATCATTTAGACCATATCTTCTAACTCCATGATATCCTCATCTTCTTGCACCGGCTCTACAATATTTTGTTTATTTACTCGTTAAAACAAGGTTTTCATCTCCTGCCGCATCGCATTCTTTTTTGGCAAAGGAAAATAGACAGATTTTTTACTGCTTCTTCATACTTTTTTGGATTTTTCAAGCACACTAACGTACCAGTAACTTCGGAGAGACGCCGTTCAACCCACAAAACAACGGAACGGCAACGTCACCGCGCCGTTTTGAAAATAGCGGCAATTCGAAACTAAGCAATAGAAATTAATACGTTTTCGGATCCGCATTGCTGGATCCAGCATGTTTAAAAAGGCGCTGGATCCAGCTGGATTGCTGTATGCTGGATCCAGCAATTGCAATCCCTATTTTTTAAGTACCTAGCTTACAAAAATTCATGTTATTTATCTAAAATGATTATTGAAAAAACAAAAAACCCAACTGCGTAAAAATGAACTGAAATACATATCAACAAAAGAACAGTCATTGATGCCTCCGACTGCATTTGTGAACACTAAGTTGACTTGTTTTAATCTTTTTAGTAAATTTTTACGTAGTTGGGATTTTTGTTTTTTCAATAATTAATCACGAAGTTCAAGTGAAATAACCCTTGTGATTCATTAACATAACCATATTGTTAGTATTTTCTGTAGCTAAACGGAAGCCAAGAAAACAATGTGACATACAATATCGACAAATCACGTGAGCAGCTGGCTCACGTGCCATATACCGACATGTCAACAGAAAACATGGAGTCTTGGTTAACTGTCCTTACAGCAGAACTGACTGAGTATCGGCGTAGAACAGACCGTAACCCGTTACGGCGGGCCGGAGGTCCTCTTATACCAGAGCCGCGAAGAAAAAAGTTCTATAACAGGGGTGGCCAACTGGTCGATCGCGACTATTAGTCCAGTCCAGTCGATCGTGGCAAGGCAAAAAATACTAAATGATTGTGTACTAAACTATGCTGTTTCATTTAAGATTTCAAGAAGTATGTAAGTGGTAGATCGCCCTGGGTTTCGTTAGTAAACAGTAGATCTTATGTTTAATCAAGTTGGCCACCCCTGCTCTCATCCTGTAAAATATCGAGACGGTAAAAATAATCATCAATCATTCCACCAGCTCGCACTAAGTGTCTCGATGATTCATTTATAATGCGAACAGCTAGGGACTGGAATTCGCTGCCTGCTGTCTTTCCCGAAGACTATAATCCGAGTCTTTTCAAGGCGAGAGTGAATAGGCACTTACAGGGCAGATATGTACCATCCAAGACCGCATCCCACTTAACACCAGGTGCGACTGTGGTCAAATACCTGTTATGCATAAAAAAAAGTATAATATTGATGTGTAAATGGTTACCTTCAGGAAGCCATGGCCACCGCACGCCTCGCGGCACTGCTGAGCGGCGTCCAGCACCGTCCACGTTAGTAGCGGCTTGCTGCAAGACACCATCGCGTGGATCTCGCTTACTGCTTCGCTCTGACGAAGAAAAACATCGTATACTAGCTGACCCGGCGAACTCTGTTCCGCCTTAAAGGCAATAAATAAGCCATCGCAATTTTTCCTTATTTGCTCACCGTTTAGACCTACCCTGGACTACGACAAACATTTTAAAACCAAAATCAGCTCAATCGGCCCAGCCGTTCTCGAGTTTTAATCAGACTAACGAACAGCAATTCATTTTTATTTATACATATTATTACATATACATAGATTTCATGATTATATTGTTTCTGATCAGGAAGTAGTAAGGACAATCTGGTCAGGTGGGGATTAGACTCAGCACTTGCCATATGTTTGTCTCGAAGCGCTGGTAGGGCCCAAAAGATAAGGAGACATGAAAGTGCCCCATAAGGGCTACCTTTTTCTTTTTTTATTATTTTCTATTGACGTTCATAAGTGCCACTTGTGGTCTAAACTGAATAAATATTTTTGATTTTTATGATTTTGATTTTTGATTCTTGGATGGCATAAACATGGAGTGCAGGTGCGGTTTTATTCCCACTGCACTCAGGAGGATTTGATGAGTGCTACTGACAACGCCACTCTTGTGGCGGAGTTTTGGGCTGACACTGTGTAGGTTTATTGTCGACATGAAAAAAAGAAGAAGGAAGTAGCTTTAAGGCCAGTTGTTACAACTCACACAATCGAAAAAAGAACAGTGAGGCTAACCCGTAATCAAAAATTACTATGAGGTCTCACAGTGCGCGTGGACGCACAGAGTCACACACGGAGCTCACAGAGCTCTATTCAACGCTGTGCGTTCGATTTGCTGCTTCCCTTAAGCAAGCATCGTTTGTGAATACGGGCGTAAGATATGCGTCACAATATAATATTATATTATCAAAGCATTTTATCGATTTTAGACGATAAGCACACATCTGTAGGCCTAGGATGCGCGCCGCGATAAGCGGTAATCACGCCATTTTATCGATTTTACCATACATTTTGACTTCGATAAAGTATATCACGGCGCGCATTCTAGCCCTTCTGATGTCTAAAATCATCGATTAGATTTTATCGTGATGCGCATCGTAGTCATCACGCAGCATGTAGAAAGGCATCACGGCGCATCGTGCTAATTCAAAGCTACAATGTAAGAAAAACCAATCACTTTCTAAGTGTGAAAAAAACGTGCGTAGCTAGTAAGAAAAATGGCGCCCTGTTAGCGGTAAGTGCTATCACTGCTAAAATGTATGAGAAAATGTCACTTTTGAAGTTAGCAAACGTGTCCTCTAAAACTTTAGCATGTTTTCGGCGGTTGCCATGGCGATCGCAATTTTGCTAACATTTCTAACAAGCGCTATTTTCGGCCAAACGCCCCCTTTGATGATGTTGATGATGATGAAGAGTTAACTCGGACTTCTTGGCGGGAATCTGAAGCGTCATGTTAGCGGTTTTGTTTTATTTCCTCAAATTCGTGTTTGGGCGACTATTAATGTGTAATAATGGTGGATTATTAACCATTAAGTGTTCGTGAACGTGCATGAGTGTGGGCGAGTGAAGCAAAACAGTGCATCGTGATTCTTCTGGTTCTCTCAAGTTGTCCATAGGAGGTCTCAGTAAAGCACCACAACTTTACTGAGACTCAAAGGGTGGGAAGGGGTTTCATCTATCATCCTTCATTATATCATTACTTAAATTGATCTCATTTTGTAACTCGTATCACTTATAAACTTGAAAATGGCACAAATCAAGTCGACCTCGACGTGTATTGCCAACATCATCAAAAAAGAAGAACTAGTTAACTCACCAGGTTATCGACCCTGACGCCCGAGTGGGACTTCTCCACGAAGCCGAGGTACACGCGCGTGAAGCTCTCGATGTAGACTCGGAACACCACCGCCGCCGCCACGTAGCCGAATAGACGCCATTGCTGGAAATATAAGTCGGTTGAGCTTCGAGCAACTTCGCAAAATGACACACACGAATAAATTCGTTGACTGTAAGAGTCCTTGCACATTAAACACTTTTTATCGACTGATAGTTTTGTAGGCTTCTAAGTGTATGAGCAATCGGCCGATAAACGGGACTATTACCACCTCTCGTTCCCCCGCTGCAACTCCTGTGTAGCCGGGATCTACAGCTTGACCGCCAGTAATTAACCCAACTAGTGAAGTTCAAGTTTGTCCCGGGGGAAAGTTAAATTGTCATTGGACCCGCACCGAAAATAACCAGCAGAACATACGAGAAGTTGGAAGTTAAGGTCCCAGTCCAGTGCAAAGCGGATGACAAGTGACAAAACAAAAGAATCGGCCGATACCAAATCGGAGTAGTGTGCGCACTTTCATACGTATTGAATTTTCGTCTATGGGCCAACAAAAATTCTGTACTTCTGTAGTCTGCAGGCAATCTAAATCATATTTCTGTGTAGCTTCCATCAAATAATGCAGCAAAAAAAAAACTAAAAATCGTGAGTCGAATCACGAAAAGGCGTAACTGATTTATATCAATTTTACAGGAACGACGTTTAAAGTTAATTTGAAGTATGGAAACATTCATTTCGGGCCCTTTTTACCTGTCAATACTGTCTTCCTAAAAAAGAATTCAGTTACGATCTTTTGTGAGGTCATAAAATGCATGTTTTTTAATAACATGGTGTGTTTTACTCAATATCGCCATTTTGTTAGATACGCCTTTTCGTGATTCGACCCACGAAATGTATTCACGTGCTCTTCTACACGTGAACCTCTATGACACACCAAGTAAACACTTTGGCATCTTATTTACTTGTAACAGGACCGACTGCAACAAGAATGTGTTGTGTGCAAAACAATGTTATCGACTTCACAAAATCATTCGACACTGTAGGTATCAATTAGCATGGCTTTGCAAGATCGTAGTAAATTATTTTATTATAAAACAGTTTATAAAGAGCACTTAATGCTACCATTGCTTCGGGAAAATAATGCTGAGAAGAAGCAGCACAAGGAACTCGGCTCTAGTAATAAAGATTTTTCTTAGTAACGCTTCAAAAAGCCCATGTTTAGGCAATAATAATATAACTTTTTATTGCCTACATACTAAATAATACAAATAATAAACATAAAAAAAAATTTTGGAGGCAAAAGGCAGACATGGGCAGTGGACGTGTTAAGTTGTAAAATGTATAAATTTATGACGTATACAGGGTGTTAGGTAAATGGGTATATGAGCCGACACTAGCCCATGTTAACATGGTCTATAATTAAAATGAAGATATCAATTTTCTGACTTCACCATACCATTTATATGACCATGTTAACATGGGTTAGTGTCGGCTCATATACCCATTTACCTAACACCCTGTATATGACGTGTAATATTTTTACAATATTCTTGAAATTAAAAAAAAAGAGTGGGAATATTGTGCCTCCTTTGTACTCAGTTAATTATAAAATATGATTGCATCATTCTTTATGCACTCTTCACACCATGTACGTACCAAATATTGAGGACAGATTAATCATGTAGCTAATAACTTTTATTTGTCTTTTGCACTCGGCAACAATCCCTAAATTTGTAATATTCTATCATAATAATTAGTCTTCTTTTTATATTCAATTAATTATTACTTCACTCTTTGTACCACTGTTGCACGAACATCATCAAATATATTAATCAACTATTTTGTCCGGTGTTTTATCTACGTATCTCCTACGAAGAAGCTCTATCTACAACAACCAAAGTATCCAACTCTTCACACTATGTATTTTTTTTTAGTTTATGTTATACAAGTAGCCATGTAAGTTGTGTTTGGCGAAATACACCTATGTGACAAAGTTAACAAGCTGCATAAACAAGTTTCTTATAAAGGTCTTTGACGTACGCGACCCCAGTTAAATAAAACATAAATCTTAAGCCGGTGGTTATTACTTTTTAAGAGTTTGTTGTTTGCTAACTACTAGGTAATATAAATGTTGACGACCTAACCTAGTCAATAACAACATTTTTATAACCAGCTCAGTAGGTATTACTGTACAGTTGACAACACACAGCTTTGTAACAAAAACGAAAAGCCATAAGGTGCCTTGATGTCTTGTCGTTTGTCCTACTTGTGCACGCACGCACTATCTGATTTTGAATAATGTCCTTAGTGTGAAATAAACACTCAGGAAATTGCCTTTTATATGTCTTACTATACATTTTATTATAATACTAGCGTAAAAATCACAGCTCCACCCGTCACTGTTACAAGGCACCGTTTCGGACTTATTTTACAGCTCATTTACTGCAATTGCATAAAACCCTGTCAGTAAAAATGCTAGCACGAAAAATAACAGCTTCGCCCGTCACTGTTACCCAGCACATTTTCGATTTTTTTTATCCACAACGAGGAAGGCCTTGGCCTGTATCTCACCTGATGGTAAGTGATGATCAGGCCAAAGGTGGTAGCGAGCTTCACCCGGAATCCTCAACCACAGAGGAACTGGCTATCTTACCTCTAACTGTCGGAACACAACAATGCTGTTAACATTGTTGTTATGGCGACATACTTAGGTAAGATGGTGGTAGCTAGCCAGGCGGACTTGGAACAAGCCCTACCACCAACCAAACCAAACAGAAAATTCTGCTCCCACTGGGAATCGAACCCGGGACCTCTGCGTCTGAAGCAGGTGGTCTAACCACTAGACCACAGAGGCGGTTGTCTTATAGTCATGCGCGGGGGGCCGGGGTGGCACGGTCGACAAACCTGACAACCTAACAAAAAAAATACTAGCTTAAAAATCGCAGCTCCGCCCGTCACTGTTACCAGTCACAGTTCCAGACTACAAGTGGCCAACTGACATGTAACTCGTACTCGATCAGCGGTATCTCGGCGTCCTTCCCGCCGAACTGTTTGCGGGACGCCGCGTACCGGACCGCGATGGCGACCGCGCTCGATATCGAGTGACAGCTCTCCTGCATTATGCCGACGCGACCTGCGGACAAAAATTGGAAAATTAGCAAAGGGATGTTGACATGCAATCCTTATGGTGCGTCCAGACTGGGCGAACGGGCTCGCGCGGCAAAATCAACATCCTGCAAAAAATGCATCCTCAAGAGCAGAGTGAGCAGGATGACCAGCGTGCCGCGCGAGCACGTTCGCCCAGTGTGGACGCACCATTATAATAATATTCTAAAATGAGAGGAGACTTTGTAAGGATGTTAGTTACTCTTTCACGCTTAAGACACTTTGGACCGGTTAAAACCCAGAGAAAAACGTTGGATAGGTAGTTTATATCCCAATTTTTGGAATGCGGGGCACGCGCAGGATAGACTGTGTGACAACGTACGCCTCACTTCCGTTCCCGTAGGCTGAGTATCGAACTTTAAACGTAACTATAACGATAACCGGTGTTTTTTGTATGGACTGCCAGATTTTTAAACGTTTGTTATAGTCAAACTAAGATGGTGCAACCCAGCCTTAGCATTGCACGCGTTTAAGGAGTAAAAAAATTGCAAATTTTACTTGTTTAGTTTTTTTTAAACTGTGAAAACATTAATAATTCAAATGTTTAAAAAACAATGACTTACAGCAAGATATTAACATAGGTGGTAGGTAGTTTATTTTGCAAACAAAAATAGTAAACATCTTTGCCAGTAATAAAAAAAAACTACTGATTGGGATGATGACTGGGTAATGAAATCGAAATTCTATTTAGTCCGTCAGACAGATAATAAACAAATATTGGAGACGTATTTTTTTTTAATATCGAATATTTATTTACAGTACTATATTGAGTTGAAATGTCGCGTGACGTCACTTTTGAGTAAAAAATCTACATAGGCGTGAAATTTTGTCATCTAGCCTATTGTCGCCGTCAACACGTCCAATATCACAACAATAGTATTCTGTGCTCATGTTACAGAAAATGTATAAATTCTAGGAATTGTATAAATTTCCTAGGAAATGTGTCTAATATTTACATCACACATTTCCGAGTGATTTTAGGAATTCTATACAATGAGGGCTATCGTTTTAGCGCTCACCAGATAGCGCCACTGTAGAGTAAGGTCCTGTCACTTACTAGTAGCGAAGACAGTGGCACCAACTGGTGAGCTCTAAAGTGATAGGAGGACTATCGCATTTGCACTCATCAAGATGGCGCCACTGTAGAGTAAGGTCCTGTCAATCGCTAGGGGTGCCAACTGTTAAGTATAAAAACGATAGCCCTCATTGCTAGGAATTGTATACAATGACTGATTTCATACATTTCCTGTAACATTAACATAAAATAACCATTGTTGTTTATTATTTAAAAAATACCAACAACCTCGCGGGACTAAGCTGACATGTTTATAACATTCGAACTTTCTCGAACTCTAAACAATAACTACGTTACTACAAACGGAACGATTTGTTTATGCTTATGGTACATCAAACATTCCTCGATCTAACAATATTTTTAAGTTTTATTCACAACACAATAGCCCTTGTAAACAATTGTTCAATCAAATCAATTGTTTTACAGCGTACAACTGGTACAGTCAGCATCAAATAGTCCGTGATCCACGGTAGCCAAAAAGTTCGTAACACGTCTTTGTTACTTGGAATAAGGTTGTGTTGTCGGTGCAGTCCTGTTGTCCCCCCTGGGGGAGCCAACAGGATTTCGAAATCCTGTTGGCTCCCCCAAGGGCCAAGCAGGGGCGACAACAGGACTGCACCGTGTGGCCACTTTGGGTGTCGCGAACTACGTGTAAGAATAAAGATTCGCCACATGAGAAAGAACAGCATTTTTATAATAAAGGTTAGGTAAATTAAATATTTATCCTTAATGTCCCAAAAAAATATTTAATTAAACTTATTTCAGGAAACACTAATGAATAGTACGCTCATTAAGACTCATTTAATTCTTATAATGGCTCGAATATTGCTTTGACCTAAGACATTTGTTGCCACCAGGCGGCGCTAGTGACGCGTTCGTCAAATGTTTATGGCCATTACCGTATGGGCGTCATAAACTGACCTACGATTATGGGTCATGGCTTATGATGTTGAGTGCTAAGGTCCCTTTAATTTGGATATGACACATAGCTATTTTTTATGATCCGCTGATTGTTAGAATGTTATAGCGAGCTGTTATTTTTTGTATGGCCCGGTGTCCATTAGTTCGGATCTTACCGAGAGTCGGATTCGACCTAATGGAAACATCTCTGTGATTTTAATGGTGTTCAGTATTTTTCTCTTCCTACATTTTTTATTTAAAAATTTCCTTTGCCTTATCCTGTTGGAATAATTTTAGATTTTTTAGATCATGTCTCCACAAATTCAGTGTAAGCCTAAAGCGCTAAATGAGCTGATGAGCTCTAAATCATATTCTAAGGCGCTTCTTGAGAGGCTTAAGTCCAGCAATGGATTGCCACTGACCACGGTTTCTGCTCGAGCCTTCTCGAACTCGAGAAAACTCGAGAAATGTGGCTTCATTCGAGACGAGAAAAAAATTACCGGAGCTCGAGAATTCTCGAGTTTCGATTTTGAAGCTTTAATACTCTTGAAAGCCTGTTTTCTTAGAAAAAAGTAAGTTTTTAATTATTTAACGTTGGTTAACGTTGCTTTTAGACTGGCCTAGTCTTCCTTTTTTAACTGATTTGATTTGCAATTAATGATCTCAATCGAAACTAAGTAATAATGTTTACCTACGAGTATGCTATACCTATTTATGATGTATGTTTAACTCTGACTGATTTAAAGACCGAAAAATTTGTTAACTGTCTGTTAGGTACACGTGCCTCCTCGTAAAGTTTATTAAGTCGTTATCCTAAAGAAATTGAAAAAATCAATAAAAAGTGTTTTTTTGTTTATAAAAAAAACTATTTATCGTAATTTTGATATTTGGACTTTGGAAAATAAGTGATTCAATTGTAGCTCCAAATTTTTTATTGTTATTTATCCTTAAAGTACACGCGACTTTATGACTTTTGTTCCTTTAGTTAATAACTAAGTTATGATATTAGTTAATATTAATTATGAAAGAAGATTTCATTTTTTGTTTGTTTCCTTACCAAAATAAGTGGTACTAAATTCTAATATTGATTGTTGTGCATTAAAGTAGGTATATTAGATAAAAAAAACCTGCTTTTATTAAATTTCAACCGATTTCAACATTTTTAATTAAAATACTCGAGACCCGAGAAAACTCGAGACTTTCGCCTCGAGAATACCCGAAACTCGAGAAAAAAATTGGTCGAGAAATCAGAAACCCTACCACTGACTGATATGGCATACATTATGTAGTCCTAGTAAATATTAAGGTTAAAGAGTGGTAGAGAGAGTCCTACTAAATATTAAGGTGAAAGAAAGAGTGGTAAGAAGGAAGAGTGTAGGTAAATCATCCATAGTGTCGTGCTCGTGCTAATGCAGTGGAGACTGGAGACCAATGCCCGTTTTCACCATCAAACCCTAAATTTTAAGTGACCCCTATGGTGATGGTGGCACATAACAGGCATTTTGTTATATTAAGGGTCACTTAAAAATTAGGAATTGATGGTGAAAACGAGCATAAATGATGATAATGAAAAATAAAGGTAATCATTTATCATACCTGCAGACAAGTTCTCCAGAGCCGCCCCCAGTATCCTGGAGGGGTCTGAGAAGGAGCTCTCGTACACCCCATCCTCGGTGACGTCAGCAGTTCTGTTGAGCAGACTCTCTCGCGGTATCCGGTACTGATTGAACATTATGAACCTGCGGAAATATTATTGTGGTATTACCAAAAAATATTATTCCGGTCATAGTCACAAGTCTAACCACTTGCGATTAAAGACGTAGTCCTGACGTAAAAGGTTTTTTTATCTAACCCGGAAGGTCAACAGTGGCAGAAAATGTTTTGTAGCATTAAGTTCGCCGAATGTATCTATTTATACGGCAATTTAAAAAAAAATACGTGGGCAGAACAGAAATCACATTTTGTAAAACCCGGTAATATAAGAAAAAAATTAAAATACTACCAGGGTTTAAACTAGAAAAACCTGATGAAGGGATAGAATTTCCTAAGAGTAGAAATTATATTTCTACAATAGATATTATCCTACTAATATTATAAATGCGAAAGTTTGAATGTTTGTTACTCTTTCACGCAAAACTACTGAACGGATTTTGATGAAACTTTACAGTATTATTGTTTGTAACCCAGATTAACATTAAATGCGAAAGTTTGAATGTTTGTTACTCTTTCACGCAAAACTACTGAACGGATTTTGATGAAACTTTACAGTATTATTGTTTGTAACCCAGATTAACATATAGGCTATAATTTATGCCGATTTGTGACACTAAATTTCACGCGGGTGAAGCCGCGGGCAAAAGCTAGTGTTACATAAAATTTTAAAAATGCACATGTACATTGACGTCACTATAACTTGACAATGTAATATTAAAGCATAGTCATAATATTATTTTGTTTAACATTACGACAAGTTGTTGATAAGCCGGGGTATCAGGTAACGAACATTTTAATTTGTAATTAAATACCGATAAAATCGTCGAAAATATCAGTGAGATTAGTAGACACAACTCACGAGACTCGTCATGGTCATGGTATCCCTTGTTATAAATCGATAGCTACTCAAGTTTAAAATACTCAAGGATTTACTCACAGACAAGACAATTTAGCCTTGTGATTGGGTGTCATATTTAGATGCGCGGGATTCTAGAGACTGCTTACTACAGACTCTGTAGTACAGACATTGTTTGTCGATAGTTTGATCGAGCTGATAAATCAGTTCGTTCGTTTCAGCCAAATGACGTCCACTGCTGGACATATGGCCTCGACCAACGATTTCCATAACAAACCGGTCCTGCGCTGCCCGCATCCAGATTCTTTATCGCATAAATGTCGTATGGATTGAAATATTCGGTCCCTACAACATCTTTGTAACATTATAAAATGCATAAAAAAAGCGAGCGGTCGGGGCGTCGCGAAATATTTTTTCATACTAGGGGGGTCGTGTCATGAAAAAGGTTACAAAAAACACTGTAATAACTAAATCAAGAAGTCGTGAATGGTGGTAAGAGAGGTTACGGAATCCTATGTGCGCAAGACACCGTACTTAACCGATTACAGTTTACAGTTAAGATGCCTTGGCGGATATTGATAAAAGGGATCGGTGACTCACACAACCATGCGTAGTATTTTTGCAAGTCTTATCATACTCTTATGATAACGGTATCAGGCTACGAGAAATTGTTTCTCACGTAGTTAACTGTAATCAATTTATCAGATGTTACGTAATATTCCTAATTCAGGTTGTTGTATTTCCTTATTGTAATAACTAGGTATTGGCTTGTGGTTAGAATTTGTTTTGCATCTTTTTATTTCTTACAAAGATGTACACTGTTGGTTTATTGTCAAGCAAATGTTCACCGCTCGTCATTGAAGACCACGTGTATAAGAATCACGTTTTCCACCAAAAATTTATACAACTTATGTAAATTAATTTAAATAAACTTATGTAAGTGGACGAGTCTCGAAGGCTAGAACATTATGTCTATAAATATCAGAGCGGAATTTGAACTTGACGTCAACGTACTTAGCAAAAAGTACTAATTGTCACCAGTAGCTCATAAGATAGGCCCATTAATTAATGTTTATTGTCCGTGGTGCATAATTATCCTTTTCATAAAGGTTACTAAACCTTTGTTTGTCACCTGTCATCCGCTTTGCAACGGAGGGAAGTCGAACCTCAACTTCGAACTCTTCCTATGTTCTTCTGATTAATTTCGTTGCGGGTCCAATGACAGTTTAACTTTCCCTCGGGATAAACTTGACCTTCACTGGTTGGGTTTTTATTGGCGGTCATGCTGTAGATCCTGGCTACACAGGAGTTGCAGTGGTGGGAAAGAGAGGTGGGAATAGTCCCGTAATTGTCACCAGAGTCCATTAACCGAATTGCATCACGAGTTTTAATTAATAAATAAATAAATATTGTAAATTAAAGGACTAATCCCATCTTACCGTTCCCATCACTGCAACACCTGTATTGTCTAGCTATCAAGTAGATAATCATGGCAGTCATTCAATGAAACCCAACCAGTGAAGGTTGAGAAACCCCGGGGAATACTTAGCTAACTTTCTTGTCACCCTTCTTTAATCAGAAGCATGTATGGGCATACTATGAGGATTGGGAAATAATATGTATATTGACGTGTTGATGGTGAAGGTAGCAGGAGGCGCCTGGATTCGGGCGGCGCAGGACCGGTGTTTGTGGAAATCCTTGGGGGAGGTCTTTGTCCAGCAGTGCACGTCATTTGGCTGAAACGAACGATATATTATGCTTGTATTTGGAGTGGGTTCATCAGTCCAGCGGACGATGGGAATCGAACGATCTAATTCTCGAATCGGCAATCGGCACCATTTGGCTGTATCGCCTAAATAAAATGTAAATGAATTATCTCAACGTTCACTTACCCATTATCGATCCCATGGACGCCGATCTTCTCCCCCATATCGCCGACTATGAGTCCAGGGTATGCTTCCAGGGTGTTTGGGTCTCTGATGGGCACTATGAACCCGTGGAGCCCGTGGTTGTTCCCATCTGGAGTGATCAGCTGAGCGAACAGCAGAGTATGCGTGCAGGTTTTACCTGAGTGCAGAAAATTGAGGTAAAGAATAGGTTTTTGTTATCCTTAACACTTCAGGTTTTATAAGTACTGCATCATAACACAATAATGGGTTTACAAGGCGGTTGTCAAGCGGATAACACCAGCTAAAGAGTCGTTTCGTGCTATCTTAATGTTTAAGTTAGTGCCTAAAACAGGAAAAAGATTAAAATATAATAATACCAAGTCATTCCACCTTTAGCACCAATAAGCCAGCCCCAAATTGAGCAAATTGCGACATAAGGTCACTGGAAACCGATTAATCCCCAGGTTTATTATTAACCTGTGACCGCAGTTGGCGTTAAAGTCTAAATACGAGGAACCATAAGTTTAAGTGGCTGTCAAATAGGCTTCATATGAAACTATGAAAAATCAAATTTCAAACATGTTTGTAGCATTTTCATGGCAATAAAGCAATCATAAACAGAGGTTAGCAACAAGAAATAGGTAAGGTACAATATTACAAAAAGTTATCATCATAATTTTGTTCAAAGTTCAAATCCGCTTTCTTTATAATTTGATATTTTACATGACGAAAAACCATAAACGTTCATAAAGATTATCACATTGATAAATATTCCGAGAGAAATAATATCACTTATCATATCACACATCGAACATGACGAATCGTGCGTAGGCGCAGCTTTTATTGGAAGATCATACAAATGATACATAATCAGACAAGTGGTCGCTCTTACAAATTATATTGAATTAGTCAATTGGCCGCACTAAAAGATATTATTATGAAAATTAAATGGATTATGAATGTATCAATTTTGTGAATGAATTTACAAAAGAAAAAAGTACACAATAAATGCTGGCCTGAATAGAGGCGATAAATGGAAGAATCTCGATATCTGTGTGATACTAACGTGATGCTTATTTTTAAAAGCTTTTAAAACTCCAATTCGCATACAAATCTCGTACAGATATTTGTGTGATTATTACGCATCATCATCATCATCATCATCAGCCATATGACGTCCACTGCTGAACATAGGCCTCCCCCAATGCTTTCCATGTTGCCCGGTTGGTAGCGGCCTGCGTCCAGCGCCTTCCTGCTACCTTTATGATGTCGTCGGTCTTACGCATACCATTTGGTATTCTGATTCTGACTTCTCATAGTCTAAATTACTCTACTTTGTAAAAGTTCTAAAAGTAAAATCAGCTTAAAAATCAAATCAGCACATGGGCTCTAGTTTTATCGAAATCTAAATGTGCCGACCAAGTCGCGGGCAAAAGCTACTACATAAACGTTTTCAAAGTTTTATCATAGTACAATATCTCCTGATAAAATCGAAAATGCATTACATTTTATCTTTTTTAATGAATGAGATATCATCAAATCTTTTTACAAATTAGGGGACAATTCTGTAAAATGTATGTGTCATCGTACAATGACAATGAACATGTACTTCAAAGTATTATTGTTTTCCGATAACTGATAACATAGTGAAATCAGCTTACGCCCGTATTCACAAACGTTACTAGGAGGTCTCACAGTACGCGTGTATGAACAGGGTGACACACGAACCATTCTCGGCCAGAAGGGCGCGCAATCCTCATCACGCATTGGTTCCCGCTGAAAACCAGCTTCTCGTGACGTTTATGTCATGTCGCGATTTTTGCTGAGCGGGCGCCTGTTCAGCGTATTTTTATTTTTTTAAGTTAATTGTTTATTTATCTGGGGGCACGGCAGTGCCCCCACCAAGTCGAGCAAAATAGCGGCACGGCCGTACCATCCTTTTCTCGAAGCAATTCAGGCCATTTTCGACCGCCTGTAACTTCGTTGTGGATAAAACTAGAAGGCTGAATTTTCATTAGCTATGCAGGCATTGTAAAGACACGGTATATTTAAAATTTCATTCAATTTGAACCAGTAGTTTAAGAATTATAACGGGTCAAAGTTACTTAATTTTGTCACTCACTGACTGACTCACNCACTTTTCTTTCACGACTATAAAAAGATTTTAGCAATTTAATTCACAAAATCAATTGCGCACATTTAAAATAAAGTTTGTTTACACTTTGACAGCAATAGACTGACATGCAAGGTGACATGTCAATGAAGTTTTAAGTTACTGTTGCCATTAAAAGAAATTAGTACCATTAGTTTTCCGCAACATGGCGAGGGTTTTTATGTTCCTGGTCAGGCTATAAAAGTAAAATCAGCTTAAAAATCAAAACAGTACATGGGCTCTAGCTAGTTTTATCGAAATCTACGTGTGCAGACGAAGTCGCGGGCAAAAGCTACTACATAAACGTTTTCAAAGTTTTATCATAGTACAATATCTCCTGATAAAATCGAAAATGCATTACATTTTATCTTTTTTAATGAATGAGATATCATCAAATCTTTTTACAAACTAGGGGGCAATTCTGTAAAATGTATGTGTCATCGTACAATGACAATGACATGTTCATGCTTCTTAAACTAATACTTCAAAGTATTAGTTTTCCGATAACTGATATCATAGTGAAATCAGCTTACACCCGTATTCACAAACATTACTATGAGGTCTCACAGTGCGCGTGTATGAACAGGGTGACACACGAACCATTCTCGGCCAGAAGGGCGCGCAATCCTCATCACGCATTGGTTCCCGCTGAAAACCAGCTTCTCGGCATGACGTTTATGTCATGTCGCGATTTTTGCTGAGCGGGCGCCTGTTCAGCGTATTTTTATTTTTTTAAGTTAATTGTTTATTTATTTATTTATTTTTACTCTTTGTCTATCATATTGTGCTAAATAAAGACTTTCTTACTCTTATTCTTATTCAAGCATCGTTTGTGAATACGGGCGTTAGACTGGGCAAGATTATTGAAGTGATTGTAGAAATGTCAAGATGTTACTTATCTAATACTTCACATGACTTTACCTCCCTATGAAGTACCAGTATTTATTCCGTGCTATTACTCATGTCTCGCATCACGCGTTTCCAATTCCGATAAGGTAAGACTAAGTACAATAAGAGAAAAACAAATAACTTGTACTTTATTACGCGGAACAAAATCACGAGAACATTAATACGTTCTTGTAATCTAAAGAAGTAGTTGTCCTTATCAACATCAACTCTCAGACAAACTACTAAGAAACGTATAAAGACCGAAGATCAAACTCGATAAATTCGATCCGATCGAGGGCTTTGATTATAGAAATAGAAAAACCTTTATTTGACACGAAAACACAAATGAAAATGAACAAATAAAAGAGAGAAAAAAAACCTTAAACATGATGATGATGATTGATGCCCGTTTTCACCATCAATGCCTTATTTTTATGTGACTCCTATGGTAACACTTAACAGGAACTTTGTTTTCATAGGGGTCACTTTTTTAGGGATTGATGGTGAAAACATGCATGAGACTGATAAATTAATCGAGTTTAGAAAAATGAAATTAGGAATAAAGGTTTTCATTATATCACGTACCTACTTTTAAGTTTTCTTTTACACTCTTACTCTATTTTTTACAGTGAGACAGCAAGCAACAGTGATCAAGCCCATATCCTATCCTACTAATATTATAAATGCGAAAGTTTGGATGTCTAGATGGATGTTTGTTACTCTTTCACGCAAAAACTACTGAACGGATTTTGATGAAACTTTACAGTATTATTCTTTATAACCCAGAATAACATATAGGCTATAATTTATGATGATCTGTGACAAACTAAATTTCACGCGGGTGGAAACCGCGGGCAAAAGCTAGTTAATAATAATTATACCTACCTATTTATGATTAAAAATCTCTTGAAGAATGATTATTAGGCACAATAAGCATTAATGGCTAACTCACAGTGTCGTTGTGTTTCAATTAATCGTTTACATACGAGTACACTAGGTATTGTCATTTCAATCAACGAAAATGCGGGCGATACCATAATAGATGGGCCTTCCGCCCGCGGCTTAGCCCGCGTGGAATTTTGTCTGACACAGAAAAACATTATCGCGCGCGTCCCTGTTTCAAAAACCGGGATAAAAACTATCCTATGTCTTTTCCCGGGACTCAAACTATCTCTATGCCAAATTTCATTAAAATCGGTTCAGTGGTTTAGGCGTGAAAGTGAGACAGACAGACAGAGTTACTTCCGGATTTATAATATTAGTATAGATTATTTAAATTTATGTTCCCTACATCATGTTACTAATTAAAAATAGGAAATCAGAATTTAACTGAACCTACATAAACATTTACTTAGGTAGAACTTCCTGTGCGTCACACATGAGGTCAGTTTTGTTACGAGTTTTGCTGTTATTATATTTGGAACTAGCTTTCCGCCCGCGGCTTCGCGCGCGTGGACTACATTATCTACATATTTTACGGAACCCTATTTTTTTCCAAAATAAAATTTAGCTTATGTTACTCGTGGATAATGTAGCTTTCGAACAGTGAAAGATTTTTTAAAAACGGTCCAGTAGTTTTTGACCCTATTCATTACAACCAAACAAACAAACAAAGTTTTCCTCTTTATAATATTAGTGTAGACTAGCTAGACGTTGTCATGTAAGTTTTCTTTAAAAGTTACATGACAACTACATCCACACTCATAATAAAAAAAATACAATAGGTTTCCTACAAAAATAAGTTAAACTATTTAAAGTACAATATTTCATTGTTTGTAAGAGTATCGAATAGTTCTCACAAATCGTAAAAAAGAAGAAAAAAATTAAAATAAGAGTGATAATAATAAACAACACTAAAAGACTACATATCGGATGTTATTGTTTCGAGGTAACACCTTGACCTACTTCAAAAAACGAGGGTTTGGATTTGTATATTATGAAAGTTGACGTCAACTACATATATTTTTTTTTATATTCTATCTGCGATCAGCCATCAGCCTTTATCAGATTGGATGAATTTGTATTAATGACAGTTTAGGTTCTGCACATCCCATGATGTGTCACCTCGTTTCCTTTTCAATAACTCTTCAGATCGATGCTATTCGCTTTCTCCTGAGCCTGAATGTAGAGTTCTCAGAATGTAGAAGGGATGCAGCAAGTACATTTTCATGACGCTGAAGTCTCTGTTTGTAAGCCCTACAGGACTTATCTACAATCTCAACAGTCAACTATAAATGAAAAAGGTTTAAAAAGCTCTTCATTTTACATTCCTGTGACAAGAAAACATTCAAAAAGTATCTTGGTGTACTGCATGGGACAACTATGAGGTCAGATGTCTTGTTAACAGTTTTTAAAAGGCTTCATTTTAATATTTTAGACTTATTTAAATCATTAATATTACAACAGTGAGTACTAGAACTACAATATATTAGAATAACATTAATATTGCGTAAAATACCTGCCTTGTACTGCATAAAAATATGTACATTTAATTAAAAAAAACACTACAATCGTTAACTTAAGCTTCGAACGAATTTAAAACGCGGCGAACGCTGCGCGAAAAAGTTTCATTGCTAAAATAGGAATCGTTTTACAATAAAAATTACCGCCACGGATCTGTCTAAATTGTCCTTTCGCAAATGCCTGATAAAAAGTTTTTTTATTTATTTTTTCGTCAGCTCGCAATTATTTTTAATATCAAGCAAGATATTTCTCTGGTCCAGAGCTACTACGATACTGTCCTATTTCCCAGCTACGGCCTTGTGAAAGTCACGTACAGTTTGCTTCAGCGGAAAATCCCTCCCGTTCGAGAACCGTCGATCGCCCGCGGCGGTAATTCGATTCCCCAATACATTAGATACGGCCATCGTAAACTATATTGTGATTTGTAAAAACTTCTTAGTAATCTATTAGATAGGCTATTTAGAATAAACATGTGTCACAGTGCGTGCACCGGCTACTTAAAATAACTTTACGGGTAAACAAAATGCGCGCGTAAACAATGTTAATGACTTAACGATCTCATTAAGTATTATGTTTGTTGTTAACACTTTCGATCGAGGGTCTCGTGGCAGATCTCGGGGTCAAGACAATGTTACAAACGTGACAGTTGTAATTTCCAAATACTATCGTTCCAACGTTTTCTAGTATGTTACTACATAGTTACCTCGGTCCGTGAAGCGAGTTTAAAATATAAAAACTCATGAATGTAACTTTGCTCCTCACTTCACTTACATTTACTCTCAATTGACTAAATGAGAATCCGGCTCGAAGGACCAAAGTTTGTGCCTCAGACTTGCAGATTAGGGATCTGGGGCCGGTACGCGCGTGTTCATTAAAGAATATCCTAAATCGTTTATTTTACGTATACAATACTTGTTGCAAAATGTACAGTGGAATAAAGAAACTTAGACCATTTTCAAATACATATCTCATTTTAGCAGCCTGTCTAGTAGTACATAGAAGTCGTTGTTTGAAGCCCACAGCAACCGTTATCGGCACGCGATAGTGCGACGTATGCTCCCCACGTATGGCGTACGAGAGCCAAATTAGAATCGCAATTTGACGGCTTTTTGACTTGGATTAATAAACTCGACACGCGCTGTGGGCCAATAAATATTTCTGAGCACATCTTAGAGCTTAACTTAATTGCTCATTGATTTTATAATTGTAAACTAAGGCCAGTGGGTTTAAATTCCGCTGGGAGTCATGAGAGTACGATCGATGTTTGTAATCTGTTATCACCGGTTGAGTTTGTTTGGATCGCGATAAAATAAATCGATGATGATATCTGTCTGATGTAAAAATGTACACATTTCAAGATAGCTTTTTTAAAACGATCCGATCCCATGGAGCTTGCTTTTAAAATTGGCCAGTTTTTCGCGTTTTTATAGTTCCACAATAAAACAACAAGGACTCTTCGCAATTATTTTTTGGCGATCAATTTGCAAATAATAAAGCAGAGAAATCTCTCGCCCGAAAGCATAAAACTGAAATTCACACGGCATTTACCTTCAGTAACAAACCATCATTAACCCTCCGCTGCTAAAAAGCAAAAAATAAATAAAAATCACACGATAACGCTCGTATGACCTACATTACCAAAAGCAGGGTACTCATCTAGCCGTGTAGCGTGTAATGTATCAGATACTGTATCAAGTGAGTACATAGGCACGAGCCCGCTGCTCACGCGTGGTTCGCAGGGAGATCGCAGCGACCCGCCGACTGGCGGTATCACTGCGAGCACAAAGGCGGCTCGCAATAGGATCCAGGAGCTCGCAGCCAGATACGCGATGACCGTGGACAAGCCGTACTCACTCGAAGGTTGGTTACGTTACATGCTACGTTACGTGCTACATGGCAGGTGAGTACCCTGCCAAACCCATCATCTATCCACAGCTCAAAAGCGTAAAATAAATGAAAATCACACGAAATTTTACCTAGATTACCAACCCAGCATTTAGCCGCTTCGAAGTCGGGCGTGTGCACGACGAACTGTCGCGTGCGCGCGTCGTACGTAGCCGTCGTGCGCATGAGTTTCGCGTCCGATCCGTGAGCGATCTCGGTGAGCGACATACTGGCCAGTATCTAGGAACATACGTTTACTTTAGAAAAAAAGAGAAACCTTTTATTTGAAGTTGATAAAAGAGTCGTCTATAGCAGGATAAAGGCCTGCAAAAATGTAATGAAACTCAAAACTTCTTTCACAATATGTTCCAATAAAATTTTGGCAGTGAAAATACATATAGCTAGCTGAGCTTAGAGCTTCTTTGGGACAATAGTACAATAACTGATTTTGGTAGGATTGGGAAGTCATTAGATCAACCCCTGCTGGAAAAACTGTAGGCCCCTTTTACCAAAAACACTATTTAACTTAACAATAGGGCTAAACAGGGATATTAGTAATTTATTTACTAGACAACTAGTCAATTTTAACGTAATTATGTAAGTAACTAAGTAGATCCCATAACAAACTTTGCTCTAGAGCTGGATAGGTAGAAAGAAATTTGCAGGTACATACCTCTCTGTTCAATATCGTCGCTTCATAAAACTTCAGATGCCTTTCAGTGCCAAGGGACAGCAACGCATTTGATACAAGGTAAATGCCTATCGCCATTTTGACAGAAACACTAGGATTCAAGGACTGGACCGCTTCGTTTATCGTCATTAATGTTCGCGTCTGCAAAAAAAGTTCAACGTTACAAGACAATTACTGCCCAAAGATTAATTGCCAAATTATGAAGTCACCGTGGAAAATTACATTAATTCAGAGAAGTTGTGGTGCAAATCATCTTGCAAATAACAGTGTGTGGATATTAAAAGTATGAAATTTATTTATTCAGCAAAACTACTTAAAAATTGGAATAAATATTTATACATTTAACATTCATACGACTAACGTTACAGGTTTCCCCAATGCGATAGTGTAGTTTAATTAGTTTAATATTTAAATATTACTCGAGTGTAGAAAAAAAACCATACCCTTTTTGTGTAACTGGATTTAAACGTCTCCTTTGTCAGAAATTTGTATTCATTTATTCGTTTCAGTTGTAACTGCGTTATCCGTTTCTGCTCGTCCACTGTGGGGGTGACGTGGTTGTGGGCAAACAACTGGTCCTTTTCTAATGTGTGCCATATTTTGTACTGCAACAATAAATAATATCTTAGTAAAGATTATAAGCATCTATTCTAGACTGTTAGGGAACAGCTACAGAAACCCAGAAGTTTCATTTCAATGATCTACAAACAAAAAGTGCCAGGAAAATAATTATTTTCTCTCTGCTAAGATGAGATAGATTTCTCACTTTTTTAGCCAAAAAACAGGACAGATTTTGATGAAACTCTAAAGAACCAAGTTACTATGCCTAATGGCATACCACAATACAGTTCTGATTGTGCGTATAAATACCTAACATGCAAATTTTTATAGATTTCTGCAAATTTTCACCATAATCCCTAATTTTTTAGTGACCCCTATGCTAACACAGGGAATGTTGTTTTCATAAATAAGGGACACTTAAAAATTAGGGATTGATGGTGAAAACGGGCATTAAGCTGGATCTCATTTTAACTTTAACAAACATGAAAATCAGTTAAAGTCCATACAAAAAACACTGGTTATCGTAATGGTCATGGTTAAAGTTACGGTGCAACTCAGCCTTAGAATGCTAACTAATGAAATGATAGCATGGAAATCTAGCATTTTAGTCTCACCTGCTAGGCTAAAGCTTACCTAAAGGTAAGCAAATGAATATAAATATTTTTGCATCTGGGTTACATCATCATCTGACATTTTAAGGAAAACAAGTATTCTTATACCTACGGATTCCCAAATAATGTGACTGAATGAGATAAGCATGAGCCTTGAATGCCATGCTAGCAATAGGGAAGTACTTGTAGTCAGGCACTCATACATGTTATTTTATTGTACTTATTTAAGTACCTTATTATTTTTTAAAACTATAATGTATGTTCATTTTTGGCAAAAAACAGGAATTGCAATTAACTAAGAATTGCATTTTATACAAAATTTAAAAACATTATTGAGGCAAAACAAGCATTTAATATTACAGAAAAATAATAAACACACATTCCTGAAGCAGGAACTACACATAATTACTATAAAATACAAATCTTTATCAAGTAATATCATTTTTAGTAAAGTTTCAGTCAGTAAACTTATGAAAAATAACTAGGACTTTTTAAAAACATTATTCTACATGTTATAACATAAGTTACTAGCTGACCCGGCGAACTTCGTACCGCCTTAGCGTAGAGATTTTCTTAATATTTTTTTCCGTAAGAACCATCCTTGGACTTCCACAAACATTTAAAAAAAAGAATTATCGAAATCGGTTCAGCCGTTCACACGTGATGCCGTGACAACGCGAAACGGGTTTCATTTTTATATATATAGATTATAATACAACTTTCTTATAGTGGCCAAAATTGAGCCACATAAAATTCTGACTAATATACACTTATTACAGTTTATTTTTATTTCAATAAAAGTTATACATTTGCTATGCTCACCTTAAGTTTTAACAACTCAATATCTCCTTCCAGAGCCAGTTTCAATCGCTTCCAATCGAACGAGGCGCTATTTCTATACGCATCCAGGGGCCCGCTCGGAATATCCGGGATAAAACTCAGGTCTTCCATATTATTAAACTAATAATCCACTTCTTAAATACCAACAAGGTTCCACAATGTTCGAGCGCGATTTTATAATCACTGATGACTAAACAGCTAAACTCGTAACCATGGGACACATCTGAATATCCTAGCACGCCTTTTTTATTAGCAAACGACGAACCGTGAAGTACAAATCTAGTCACTAGCTCCCGAAAACAGTTCACCTTGATATCGTTTACTATTCGCGATTGAGGTTAACTTTTTGCTGGTATCTGCTAGGCCGGCAATTTACGAGATTGGGTGGCAACGGTAGCTGCACAACGTGCGGTGGTCGCGCTCGCTTTAAAACTTTTGAACACAGATTAGAGAGTATGTCTAAAGCTTTTGAAATAGTCACACCAATAAAGTAATGAATTTATACTAGACCACACGTCATTCGTTTCGTTATCAAAGCAACTCAAGCAACTTGATCGGATGACTTCTGTCAAACTTTTAGTGATGTGATGCTACATGCGACAAAAAAAATAATCGATAAAATATTTTGTAATTTAAAATCGTAAGATTATTGAAAGCGCGCAAAGTTGCGTGCTAGGTAACAGGGGCTAACAATAATATAAAATTAAGTGGACTATAAAGTAGTAGTACTTGTGATGGAAAATGAATTAGGTTGATTTAACTCCTTAGTCCTCATGTCCTCATACACAAAATAATAACAGTTTTATTACTTTTTGTTTCTTTTTGTACTTGTTTCGTTGCTGACAAAGAGTATTCTGATGAAGGGCTCATGTAATATCCGAAAAATCTTACTCTATTTCTAGACGACTTTCGAACCAACTTGAAGTGTAGTATAGTTAACAAACAAACTTTGAAGGATTTTTTAAATATATTTTTAATCGACATAACGCGAGTATCGATAAGCGCGCATCCTTACTATTGAAATGTCAATGTCAATTTGGGCGTAACCTGTCGGCTCCCTTACACGTTCGGATACGCGCATGATATTATTTCTTCAAAGTATCCTAAAAGTGTAGTTTATAAAATCCTACTTCTCAAAGTTGTAATCAAGGAGCAAATTGAGCAAGTACTTCTTACTGCACGCTTGCACATTACTGGACTATTCCACGGAAGCTTTATCTAATACATATTATGTATATTGTGGTGGAAGTGCTTTATGCCTCGGAATCATTTCACCCAGCTTCATCTCATACTAAAGCGATCGCCTTTGTTCATCTAGGATTTTTTTCCACGTTTATATTATGTGGGTTAAATATCTAATAACAGTTTAACAAAGGTATGATGTTAACCAATCTTAATTTCATTTAATGTTTGAACTATTGAATTTGCTTATTAAGTGCCATCTATGTACGAATGAACAAACTATTTCATAACTTCATCAATGGTTGTCAAACAACAGAGATGCTCATGCGCTTATATCCGCTTACCACTTAGTAAAGTTGCCGACAGATGTCACTTCTATCTTCAAGATAATTAATGAAATGTGGAAAAGAGAAAACACTATTGGATAGTACACTTAGCAGAATGAGACCGCAACAGCGCACTACTACAATGAAACATCACTACTACAGAGACAAGTTAAGTTGCCAGACACATAACAAGAAAAGAGAAGTTGTAAAACAACAACTGTGTTCGCTCGCTCGCTGCTTTGCTTTTCTATCAGATGTAAAATGGACGGGCGGTCGTGTTGCTGTGCGCTCGCGTATCCCGCGTGATCGTTTTCATATCGATGTTTATTGTTTTAAATTTTGACGTGAATACGAATATTGTTTATGCGATTGTTCGACTACTTCGGTGTTCGGTGCCGAAGCAGATTGTGTATGTGGATGTGTTTTTCATTTGACGTTGGCGCTCACTTCACTTGCAGTGATTTCGCTGATAGCTCACTCGCCGGTGGGTGCGCGTGATAAATAAACTACGTGTTCGGTTTTTAAAAAGGCGAATAGTCGCCTAGTGAGGGTGTTTTGCAGTTACGATGCTGCGTACGGTGACATAGTGAACGTTGTACTACCCTGACCTCTGACAATCATGTCTGGGCGATCGGATTGCAGGAAATTTGCACCAAACATCTTCAACAAGAGCAAATGCACTAATTGCTTCAGACAGAAGGAGGAGCACAGTGCCGAGGCTTTGGAATCTAATCGGGTGAGTACTGGCCACTTACAAAAAAGTTTTAGTCACTTCCATAACATAGATGATAGAACTGTTCTTGAGTGGGTGTGTAGTGTGCGTATGTGTGCGTGGGCTGGCCACTCTTTCAGGTGTTGTTGGTCTAACGGATTTTATCGAGTTATTAAAATTGTATTGAGCTTCGCTGGTACCGGCTAATAAGAGGGAATGGGTACGGCATTAATACCGGCTTTCGAGATGATTTTTGACAGCCAGCCTCCTAAGAGATTTTTTACTGGCTTTAGACTGACTGATGGAACATTCTGTAATATCAACAAAAAAACATAGGTAGGTAGGTAGGTACCTTCTTCTTACTCACATTTAACTGCTGCTGCTAAATTCTGCCTAATAAAGTGACGGTTCCATCCTGCTGTCGTCACCTTCGCCACCGAGAGAATTAAAAAAAAACAACGCTTCAAAATTGTCAGTTTCCGCTTTCCGTCCCGAAAAGATTTTGAAAGAGATAGTACGTAGGTACCTACCTACCTATAATGTATGAATGTGTGCCTAGCTATAAAAATATTTATTTATTTAGAAATGAATCACACCAAAAATCAAAGATAGCATGATCTATCTTATATCTCTAATCTCAATGACGTGTTATTGATAAATAAATAGGTACCTACACCAGGCCCAATTTTACCGGTTAATTGCCGGTTTTTCAATCGTCAGATATCTTTTATCTGAAGAATAAACTTGCGACTTTGACATACCTATTAATTTTCCATGCTGAAACTGCCAATGTGCCAAACTTATTCTGCAGTTTAAGTTATCCAACGATTGAAAAATCAGCCCTAAATCAAAATTCTTCCTATACTCGTACGTGTTACGTTATCCTGATTTTTTTTTATCGACTTTACTTTCTAGGTTTCTAGTAATTTTAAGATTTAAAAAACCTACCTAGTTGTAAAGGTAGCATTCGGATCAACGCGACCGCGACGCGCGACCGCGACCGGCGACCGCGACCGGCGACCGCGACCCACTGCTTTATATGAATTAATAGGAAGTGCTGACGGATGCAAGCGACCGAGTCGCGCGACGTGTGGGCGTGGCCTGCCGGCTACTTGCGTCGCGCGACTCGGTCGCTCACAAGGCAGTGCCGCGGCGCGACAGATGCAAAATGGCCGTGTTTTCTTCGCACGAAGACGAAATTTTAATAGAATTAGTAAGTAAAAACGCACCTGTATTCGATACGAGACTTCAAGCTTATAAAGATAATACTGTGAGAGACAATATTTGGGAAAAAATTGGAAAAGCATTAAATAAAACAAGTAAGTTCAAATGATACATATTTTTTATTAGAAAAGGTACTTATTTTTATTGTTTACAGATAGGTACTATTTTACTTTAACTGCAAACATACTGAGTTTCGTATGGGTCGCACGACTCGTGTCGCGAAGATTCGTAAGTAGCTGTCGCCCTGCGACCTGCGACCGGTCGCCGGTCGCGGTCTCGAGTCGCGGTCGCGCGTCGCGGTCGCGTTGATCCGAATGCTACCTTTAGGTGCAGCAGCGGAATAAAACCAGCCTTATCTATCTACTTGTGGTCAGTCAGGCAAACCCACCCGACAGTTGAATCACCCGAGTTCCGCTTGCGTTAAAAAAGATCACCTAGATGCGGTCAGCACATCTGTAATCTAGAGTTGGTCTGGTCTGGACCAAAGCAGGATATGACGACATACAGCAGCAGCTACTATCTTCTTGATCCTTATATCCGTTGGCGCAGAGAGCAGTTTAACAGGAATTTTTACGGTACAATGTATGTATGTACCTACGCTCCTCGGACCCTGTATGGCAAAATGTTTTTTCACGCCATTAGAATGTTGTCAGAACGACTCCAAAAGGACTGAAGAACAGGAATGTCTGCTGCACTATTTTTGATTTTAAAATCAAACAGAAATAAGCATAGAAAACAAGAGGCATTAAACGAAATAGTCCTCATTACCTACACAAATTCCTAATTTTTGTCGTGTTCCGTGTAAAACCATGAGTGCTCTGGTTGTTGAGGGAAATACTCGCATACATTAATTATAATATTCATAGCCTCTCCAGTGTTAGACGAGTTATATTATGCACTTATAATAAATATAATATAACCAGCCCCTCAAATTGCAGACGGACATGTCTCGGAGTCGACGTCATCGCCTTCGCCTCCATTTTATTGAAATGATTGAAAAAGGAAAATGGGTATGGAATGTTTAACCAGGAGTTTTGGCAGTCTTATCATAAATTGGCACAAAATGTGAGAATATCCCACATTTTGTAAAAGATTTGTGCAATTTTACATGTGAAATTATCATAACCGAAGAAATAGCAGTGTATTTCACTGCTATTGAGATGGACGGATAAATAATTGAGCTTAATAAGGTCTCTCAAACCTGAAGACCTTCAAGTTTTCTTTTAACAAAAATACGACTGCATTCGTTAAGATTAGAGGATGTGCCTCTAATTGCACAGATTTAACGTCGGACTGCATGTGTTTCCTCATTTTCATCAACACGTTCAATTAAAATTGATCTTTTAACAACTACCTGGCGGAAAACGCTATGATGGCTGGTTTTTCTGGCGAGCAAGATCGTAATTATAAATGTTGAAAAAACATATTTGAGGGATTGCAATCAGGCTCTTTCAAAATTCATATCAACTCCAAAATTAAAGATACCGGTACTTTCCTAGTAACGTTCAAAGGTGTGTAGTCTTGTTGTTACTCAATTGGAAAAAAAAATGCAAAAAGTTATTATTCTTATTCAATATCTACACCTGTTATTTCACGACGCCAGTTTTTCACAGTTCCAGAAAGCCTGTACATTAAAATGGCGTGGAATCTTTAGAAATATTACTAATAAAATCAATTATTCCCGGTTATTTTCCATTCCCATTTGTATCCCACGATTGCAATTCTAATGGCGGCTATCAATAGTATCAATAAACATGTGTGACTGCCCCCGGACCGCTCATGCGAAAAGCATGGCTCTCTGGCCATACAAATTGTTAATTATGCGATAAGTACAACGATTATCATAGTCGAAGGCCTTGCAGATTGTTTGCCTTTTATGATAGTGATTACAGTTAACACGGTTTTAACCTTTTTCCTGGCTTAAAAGTTAATAACTCTGAGTCTTTTGAGTACCTAAAGAGCTCATCAGAACATTTTGTTACAATACTACACTAATTAGTTAGCTACAAGCAACGTCCGTACTTAATATTTAAAAAATAAGTTATCCGCTAAAAGTGGTGCTTTGATCGTTCATTATTTCAGCACTCGTTTACATTAACCCTCTAATTATTATCGCAGTTACGCGTTTAAGGTCACTGTGAAAGCTGACAGTTTAACCGCTAAGTAACGTCATCAACGGTGCAGTGAAACAAAAACAAATAATATTTATAGAGGTCGACTCCACGCGTGCTCACGTCTGAGTCATCTCGTTTTGGAATTAATAAGTTAATGGAAGATGTACTCAGGTTAAGAAGTTATTTAACTTGAAAATAAATAAGTACCTACTTAACTTTATTCTTCAATTCCCATAATAAGGGTTTCTTGAAAGTCCCACTTAAAAGGTCTAAGAATTTATTCATCATATTCATCATAAACAGGCAAATACTGATCACCGAAAGGAAAGATAAATCGCTAAGACTCTATAATTAATTATTATAAATGCGTTTATAATTTTATTATTTATATCAGTGTATTTTACCCTAAAATAGCACAACACTATTGATTCAATCAATTGAAGTCGCAGTCGCAGCCTCATTTGTTTGAAATAAATCGATGTGTGAAAGTGACGACAATTTGTTACTCCAAGGCGTTTCTATTCCATTTGCTGTGCTGGATTGTCACGAAAGAATAAAGTATGTTAACGAGCATAATAGGCTCGAAAATTTCTTAAAGCTGTTTTAGAATGGCCATTCGGTGTGTTTGTGTAACTTGTAGGTTAGCAATTTCATTCAATCAAATGTAAATAAGTAGGTTGTATCATAATAATCTATGAGCATTAGTTTTTTTTACACCCTGAGACTTCTTTCCATGAAAAAACATGAAAAAAACCTTTATAATCTGTTCTTTTATTTCCAGCCAGTCATGGCGCCAAAAATAAGACAAAAACCGATTACAACATTCAAAACGCGATAATTAGCCGTATTGGATTAAAGTTCTTTATCATGGCGATAATGAGACTGTGGAAGACACATGGCCGTAATTTTGGTCTAAATACACACGAGTCACTTACGTAGAGGCACAGCTGTTAAAACAAGGTGGCGCATGTAGTAACCCCGTTGAGGCCCTGTTTTGTAATCGAATGACAACATTTGAGTTGCAATATTTTAAAAATTAACAGGTAACGGTAACCTCAGGTGTGCCGTTCGCTCGCAATAAAATTGGCTATGGTGTTAATTCCTGTGTATTTGTAAATGACACACAAAAAACTGCGGAAGATATCAATGAACTAGATATGCCTTCTGTAGATAAACTCTATGAGGCATCATAGAGGCACGTTAGTACATTCACATTTAACCGATTAGTGTTCCTGGCGAATTCTAAGTTATAGTTTTTTTTAAACTTGGCGATACAACAACTACAAGGTCTACAAGTCGCGAATAAAATTTCTAATAAGCTATCACACCTCTTATCTTGTAATTTTGCTTTAGGTATTTACTGATACGATATGAACAAGCCAACGGCTCTGTAATTTTAAAGTGTAGATAAGATTTAAACACCCGATAGACCCCTGTTAAAATAAGGAGGATTGGGCATGGAACCAAATGGAACTGCTTCTCAAGAAAAACTTTAGCTTACACCATTACCACTGATTAGTTCAGTAAGTTACACATTGTTCTACTGCTCATAGCAACCTGAATCTTCAAAATCTTGACAATCGAACTACTGAAATGCTTGTCAATTGCCTGAATTGTCTGCATGCAAAGTCTGCTAAAGTCTGTCTGCATTCATTCCGCTAATAACCTGTGGATAATCAAGCACAA